AATGTATTTTACTTCCTGAAGCCTATTACCCCTAGTGGAGCTTAGGACGCTGACCAGCATTCTCCAACCTTCTTTGTCCTGGGCCTTCATTTTTAGTCATCATATTGCCACAAATATGCATATACAAAATGATCTTGGTTTCATCGAATCACACTACACAGAACCAAACTGAACACATCTGCATCAATGAAAAGTTCCTAAGGACCATAAAGGATGTGAAAACCAAGAGAGAAGCTGACAAATTCTGCCCCTGCTTTATTAATCCGTGCCTTCTAATCGACGTCAGATCCACCTAGTTTATCAATGATGCTGCCTAGATGTGTGAAGTTTTCCATACCTTCCAAAGCTTCTCCTTCATTTTGGTTAGTGCATGTAGTATCGTATAGGAGGATCCTGCTATTTCACTTGTGTATGTTAGGACCTACTGCTATATAGACTGCTGCGACATTGGCCTTCCTCATCTGCATTTATTGTTGTGTGTGAGATAGAATAGCTAGGTCATGTATGAAGCCCGAATCGTCTAGTTGCATCCTAGCTATCCACCGTATGCCTGGCTTCTCCGAAGATTATTACATCTTCACATTCCTGTAAATCTCCAGAAGAAAGAGGGAGGGTGAAAGTAAGCAATCTTGTCTGACGCCAGTCTCCACTTGAAATAAAGTTATGAGCTGTCTGCCATAAAAGATTTTGTAGTTTAACTGAATGTAAGAATCCCATGTGATATTGACTATCTTCTCAGGTACATCGTAGTGTCGGAGAAGTCTATCTCGATAATATATCGATCATTAACGAACTCCCATCCAAGGAAAAAAGAAAAAAAACATTGGTTTATTCACCCAACAAAAGCTTACAATACTAGAGAATACAGAAATGAAATAATTAAAGTATCAAATAATTACTTACTTACTTGCGCCTGTTACCCCGCACGGTGGAGAATACACCGCCGACCAGTATTCTTCAGCCTAATCTATCCTGGGCCTACCTTTCCAGTTTTATCCAACTGCTGTTCATTATTTTCATATCTGTTTCATATCTGTGTTCCTCAGTCTACTTCCTTTACTTTGGCCTTGAGGATTGAAAGTGGTAACTTGCCTCGTGATGCAGTCGGCTGGTTTCCATAATGTGTCCTATCCATCTTCAGAGCCTTTTCTTCCTATGCTGGAACCTGTTTTGTCCTCTACCACAGTAGGCTGTTACTGATGATGTCTAGCCAACCTATCCTCAGTATCTTGTATAGACAACAGTTATTAAACGCTTCTTCTATGGCTTTCGTGATTCTCCAAGTTTCCGCTCCATACAGTAGTAGATTTATCTTGACATTTGTATTGAAAAGTTTGACTTTAGTATTTATCGATAGTTATCGATATTTACCTTATTAATATATGTTGAATAAAATTTTTGCTGAAAAGCTTCTTAACAAAATTCTATTTTTGTTTTCTAATTTTCTATGTACTATTGTGGTGTGAGCTACTTATAAGTAGTATATGACGTGAGTGTAAACGTAATGTCTGGCAGCAGAAGATGGGGGAAGATCAAGAAAGGAAGAGTTAGAAAACAATGGAAGTTGTATGAAACGCATGAACAGTGAAATGTCAGACAATGGATTGATGTTTTGCAACAGGAACAGTCTAGTTCGATATGATGAACTGATATTTTGCAAATTAACGATTTACGATATGGTTTTCCTATTTTACTGAGTAACTCTGTAATTTTCATTAAATACAATCCAGTTGCCCGACCTGTGTTTTCGTTCACTACACTATCGTTTACCAGTTGAATTTTTATCTCATTATACGTTTTTTCCAGTACAAATGAATATGAAAATGTAAGCTTAATGATTGAAATATTCAACTATTAAAAATTCCTTGAGAATTCATTGGAGATTTTTTGAGATGAGAAAAGTCTAAAAACTCGTTATCTAATCAGAGTTCAACTGAAGACTCTCAAATGCTTTGGTATAGCTGAAAGTGAAGAGTATTTGCTCACCTTTCCAAATTCTCCCATATGGCCACGCGTATTTAGCCATTACCAAAGAAGTCCTACCTACTGACTATTCTCGACATGGGTATTATTTAGGAAGTTGAGAACACCAAACATGAATATCCCAATAAGGCTAAATCATGTTGGTAGTGTGTAGAATCCACCTAGGAGTGTGTTGGGGGTGTTAGATCCCTAGAACTCGCTTGATAAATGTCTTTATTTTGGATTTTATTCATGGACCGATCAGCTGACCTTGAGATCACATTTCCCACCAGATAAGTCCTTGGCTATGATTGGTTACTGTGTTATTTTAGTGTGCTATTTTTGCGACTGTCCCAAAGGCGTCTCTATGGAGTATAAATAAACGCGATTTGTATGCTGTCTGGGTGTTTGTAAAATACACTTTTTACGCTATATCAAGAATTCTTGCTAGTACATCTGGATCAACGGATCACAGTATCCTACCTGGACGCTGGTTCATTGTTTTGTTCTCGTTATTCGACTAAGTTGAACCCTTAATAGTTTTAGACATACCTAGAGACGAGCATGACAGAGAGTCAGAAAGCCATCATTCCAAACCAATGGGACATATCAGACCTAGGATCCTAATGGAACGAATGGTTTACAAACCTATTTTCGATCAACCATCATCATGTGACTATATGTTCTAATGTCGCTCCGCTGTCTTGTGAATTAGACTTCTGGACTAAATTTTTTCAGAGAGTGGCTTACTAAGAAAATCATCTGCTTCAGTTCGAGCATCCAGGAAATAGGCTAACCTACTTAAAAATTCAATCATTTGTACGCTGCATAAATATTTAGATTCCCTTCTGTACCGATGTTTGCATGTTCAGATTAATAAAAAAAAACAAAATTCATGCATTTTAAAATATTCTGATTAGATTATTAAAAACATTTCATTACTAATTTAATCTAAGAGATTATCGAATTCAAACATAAACTTAGAAAAATATCCTTGATCTTTTTGTATTAGTGTAAGGTCAAAAGTGTAAACCTCCTTTCTATAATTTATGCCTTTTATATTCTGATCAAGTTTCAAGTGTAGGTTATTTCTTAGTGATAAGAGACGATTGAGAAGTCAATGTTAGGTGTTTAATCATCGCTTTCCTGTTCAGATAATGATATTGTCATTTTTCATTTATAAAAAATTATGACTTGAAATCTATTAATAAGATCTTTTTTTTTAATTAAACAATTAATTGATCTGCATTACGAGGTTGTGAGGATTGTCAAGTTACACATTTTTGAAACCATGAATCAATCAATGTTAGACCACCATTAGAAACCTGGAAGCACTGGATGGTCGTTTCGTCCTCGTATGGGACTCCTCAGCAGTGCGCATTCACGATTTATGGTTTCAACAATGTGTAACTTAACAATCCTCACAAACTCGTAATGCAAATTACCTGTGCTCACTAGTGACTAGCTTCGTGAGAAATCTTCTCCGAGTTCGAATGGGAAGACGTGACCAGTGAAGTTCAACCTGTTCGGGTGTAGGCGGTGTCTACCGAAGAATGTGTATGAGGTTGCCCGAATCCGTGAACTTGATCAAGTTAGACATTAACACCGTTAGTTACCGGTTCAGTGGTCTAACGGTTAGGGCGTTCGCCTACAATACCGAAGATCCTGGTTTCGAACCCTGCGCGGTGCAGGAGTCGTGGATACGCACTGCTGAGATGTTCCGTACCAGGACGAAACGGCCGTCTTTCAGTTCATCCAGGTTTCTAATGGTGGTCTATTATTGATCGATTCATGGTTTCAAAAATGTGTAAATCAATTGGTCATCGAAATAAGTTCGTATGTTTGATATAAGATAATAATTTAACTCTTTAACATCTTTAGTCTAGATTATAAACAATTTTGTGAAATCAAAATATACTAAAATAAATAAATCAATAGTTGAGAGTAGCAAGAACTGGAAGGCCATTTCGTCCTGGTATAAGACTCATCATCAGTGCACATCCATGAATCCCACTTCTCGAAGGAATCGAACCAAGGACCTCCGGTCTGGCGCGTGAACACTTAACCTCTACACCACTAGGTCGGCATCCAGCGATGTTCATATCTAACTTTGATCAATCTAAGTTTCTGCGCATCCTTACCCATTCTCTTCAGTTAATTACTGCCTACTCCCGACAGGGTTGAACTCCATTGATCAAAGCTTAGAGAGCTCCAAGAATTTCTTCAGAAAGCCAGTTACTAGTGATAGGAGGTGATGGATGTGCACTGACGAAGATGAAGCGGCCGTCCTGTGCTTCCAGGTTTCTAATAGTGGTCTAACAATAATTGATTCATGATTTCATCGGAAAACACTATAACTAATAGTTAAGCGATTAAAAAAAACCTCAAAAGAATGGTATAAACATTAAAGTATCTTAAACATAATTTAATAAGTGTAAGAAATCAATATTGAAATAGTTTAGGTCATTTAGCTGACTGTCCATCTCAATAGTACAGATATACATATATATACCACATTCATTTCTCTCTAATTCACTCCTCAATACCATTATTTTTTATGATTGGCCTGCATTCTAATACATAATTAGAAGAATTTGTTATGCTCTGTTTTTTTCATCTTACCAACTATCTACCTACCAACAATAGTCAGTATTCACAAGAAATAAGAAAAATCATTCATTAATTTAAGGTCAATTAAACCGAATGATTTTTAAACACTGTAGTATTTTTTTATTTATTTTGAATGACAGAACTAAAAATAACTTCTTCACCAATGATCAACATCCTATTTCCTCTACCAGTTGTCGAAAACTTTTTAATTAAAAACTGGTTAATGAGCAAGCTGAGTAAAATAAAACACGAAAAAAAAAACAAACCAAAATCAATTTTCATTTGTCGCCAGTTTTTCTTTCATCCTTTCATCGATTTCGCCCACATCATTTTCATTTTGATTGGTTAGAATGAATGAATGCACCAATCAGAACAAAGGAGTTTATACTACTTTTCTAAGAAGACAAGAGTAAAATATTCCAGTGAGAAATAAATTATTAGGCAGAATAATTTACATTTATTCAAGTGTATCAACATTATTACATCAGTGTGTTAATAATAAGAGTTATTATCCATATTGCTATGATTATGAGTCTACTTTGATATTTTTCTTATTCAATAAATCTATGATGAGATTGTACTAACCTTGGGTTATATTAGTAAAAAAAAAAGTAGAATGAAATATCTATATTTTCAATGTTTAATCAATCTCTTATTCATATGGAAATATGTTAAATGTATAAATTATGATTTTCAAAGATATCCATTTCCAATTGACGATGATAATCTACAAAATGAGGTATGTTTACAATGATATCAATGATAATAATAATAATAATAATAATAATAATAATAATAATAATCGTGGTGGTGTTTCATTCTCTGAGCTCATTGATGTTTCAATTGTGAAGCTTTCATTGTTTGTTCTTTGCTGAACAACATCATCAGTACAAACTTTATGGTTGAAAAGTGAAGCATACGAAGTGCTGATGAGGAACAATGAAAGCTGAAACACAACTGAAACAACATTGAGTTCAGAGAATGAAACACCACTACAATTATCCACTTGAGCTAGAAATTTTATCCACCATCTCATAATAATAGTAATAATAATCGTAATATTTGTAAAGAATTTCCGACTCGTTTTAAAGTCAATCAAAAGACAACTTTCGATTACTCTGCTTGTATATATCCAAAAAAAATCAATCACATGTAAGCCAGTTTTAATGTATACGAATGATTAAACTTCTTGAACTTGTAAACAGAGTTTTAAAATGGCTCCCATAGTTTGTTTTTTGATTAGAGTTGGGAATTTCGATTTTCAAATTAAGGGTTCAAAATTAGAATTTTTCTTACAAGAACTGATATCAGTTACTATTTAAAAATGAATTTTGTTCAAATATGTAAGAAACATCAATTGGTTTGTTCGTTTTTCAATATTCTGAGTAGTATAGAAATACATTATTTTGTACGGCTTGTTATACATGATATCTGAGATTTGCCTAAAATCTTTGGCAGTACATATTGCCAAACCTTACTGGGGATCGTAAACGATTTTACTCACAAACGCTAAAAATTCCAGGAAACTAGGGTGGTATCCAGTGGTATATATGTATAACTCCAGTCAATCCGCCATACTGCGTGACGATCTTACATTGTCCTCCATAAGTAACTCTATCTTACACTCAATATGGTTAAACAAGTCACTGATTGTTAGAGACCTTGAATGACATGGCTGAAAATAGTTTGCATTGGCGCAGGTGCATCCACTGTTTGTGTTCTCTCAAATCCTAATCTTCTGGATTCGTCTACACCTCTACGTTTGTCTTCTTGAATATTGTCTTCAAATCCTTATCTTCTACATCGGCAGTAATTCGTTTATCTCTACCACTATGGGATTTGAATTGACAGTTGCGTCTCTGTGCTGATGTGGTATGGCAACATCAGCCGATGTACTTACATACGAAGTTCTACGTTGTAACTGACTGACTGACATGGTTAAACATCAATAGTCACGGATTCGGTTGGGGATTTTAAATCATAATCCTTTTTAAGTGTAGATAGTATTTATTTTTCTTAAATTCTTGTCAATTTCATTTCTAGTTAATTGAACAAAATAATTTTCTGATTGGTTTCGACGAATCATGGCCATCAATAAATGTGAATGACTATTTAGGAGTGGTATCCTCTATTAAAGCAACCGACCAATCAGCGTCGAATGTATACGTTTTACATCGTGGTGATCGAGTATGGGATAAAAAGTAAGTTCATTGATAATAATCAGTAAATGAAGCGATAAAAAAAAAGAAAATGGATAAGTTGATGTGTTTGTTTTCTATCAATCAAATTCAAGCTTATCGCTGATGTTGATCTGAAATGGTGTAGTTTATTCGAAATGACTGATTGACATGAACTAAGTAGATCCGACTAATACCAATTAGCAGGTAAATACTTGTGAATAGATGAAGATTTATGCCTTATACATCCAAAACAGATCAATTTAATTAAATTAGATTCAAATCACACTGAATTTTGAATTGGCTATAATAACATCTTACGTATTTGTTTTATCCTTAGCCTTTGACCAATATCACATAACTCAACGTTACATTAAGCATCAAAAACCTTGCTTATTTACTTACTCCTGGTGGAGTATTGACCGCTGACCATCATTCTCCAACCAAATCCATAATGTGCCTTCCTTTCCAGTTCTACCCAATCGATATTCATCTTTTTTCATATCTATCTCTGATTCTCGTCGTAGTATTCTTTGTTTTACTTCTTTTCTTTTGCCCCAGAAGGTTCCAAGTAGTGACTTGCTACATGATGGCGTTGGAAGATTTCCATTAAAAACCTTGAGTCAGCCCGTAAATACTTAATTGATCCACAACTTGATCAGTTCTGTGTTTCTTCTCAGCCACTCAGTTCAGAAGTCCTTAGCCAGCCTCCACAAAATCTGTCATATTTCAAGCAAGCATAGTTTGTATAGGAAACAATTTTAGACCAAATCACATCGTACATGAACAAGTCAAAATGACTGTGAAAAGGGGATAATAAATCACACATTAATAATTAATGAGTTAATCGGACCATCAGAATAAGAGGAATAGTTTAGTTAATAAATAATTATACAATAAAACTATACACAATAATAATCTATAAATCGCTACTAGTGTAGTGAAAGGAGAACACAGGTGAGGGCAACCAAATTGTATTTATCGAAAATTACAGAGTTAATTGGTAAAATAGGAAAACCATATCGTAAACCGTTAATTTGCAAAACATCAATCCATTATCTGACATTTCACTGTTCATGCGTTTCATACAAATCCCATTGTGTTCCCACTCTTCCTTTCTTGATCTTCCCTCATCTTCTGTTGCCAGACATTACGTTTTCACTCGCGTAATATACTACTTATAAGTAGCGCTCATCACACTAGAAGTTATCATCTCTCTAATCTTCTCCTTGATATAACAATATCTGACTAACGTTTAGAAATATACAATTGATAATATTGAGTATATAAACTTCCGTGTTTCTTGACAGCTTTTCATAATTGAATACATTTATTTAAGTTCTCCCTCTACTGAAGACTTGTCCCATCCTTTTGTATTATTTACAAATCAATAAATAGTTTTACTGATGATCATAGAGATTCATGGATTCATTTTGTTCATAATTTCTTAAATATGTAAGCAGTCAGATGATTTCCATTGACTCAGAATGAAACTCATATACTTTATGTTGACTGTGAGACAATTACCCAATATAACATATAATAATTACATGTTCATATATTATTTTCAATCATTGAAGTTGGTGATAGTTAGCCTAAACGTACACAACTTTAAAATATTATACTTACTTAAAATAAGCTTAATGATCATTGATCGTATGTGTCAATATGAATGAACTGTATTAGTTAGTGATAGTTTTTGCATTAAAAACATTGAAATTAGAATCTTGTATATTGACAATCGGGAACGATGAACTCTTACATACATATGTCGCTTCATATTAATTCAACCATTCGGTAACTCATTGAACGAAGTAACTTCACGGGTTCAACATTGAAGGATGTGTAATGCCTATTCTGAATTTCACTGTTAATTACAAGTTTTTAAGGAACAAGGTTATTATTTACTATATAGAGGTGAATTGTTGACGTCCTGAATACTATTAAAAACCGAAAATAAAACCGAATATCATTATTGATTTATTTTCTTCAGGAAATGTTTATTCATCACTCTGTTTTTTATTTGATTTCTAGTACTTTTGATCAAGAAAATAATTATCGTCTTAATAAATCGAAACCTATAGAAAAAGGAGTGCTAGTACAGATTTTTAATGGAGAAATTGCAAACACCTATTTTCCTTTCAAGTAAGTGATCAAATAATGACAGCAGAATAAAAAAAATATTTTCTGTTGTTGTCACGTGATCTATTAAGTGATAATATAAGTGATACAGTTTGCCTTGAGATTATTACGACTATTAGATTGGATACTTGAATGATGAACTATGCACAAAGATTACCGACACACTATCCTAGTTCTGTGATTTGTGATTAATTATTGGGAATGAGAGTATAAGATGAACAGTACTTTAGTAAGCTAAATGTCTGTTTGTCTTCACTCAATGGTGATCAATCACATCATACTTTCACAGACCATGCAGCACTATGTATTTGAAATACTATTATTTTCAAGAAACAAACTAGAATTCTTAATTATGGATTGTAATTTTTTGATTGAAGGAAGGAAGTAAACAGTGTGAAGACAACAGACAATCATCTTCACATAAATATCTTACTACTGACAGGATAATTAATATAAATTAGACCCTGAAATCAAGAAAATGAAAATCAAGTCAAATGTTGAAAAGTATGTATGAATTCTGAAACTGAACCAAAATACTACCAAAATGTGTTACATGGTTTCTTACTAGAGTTAAGTTGAGTCAGTTGCCCTCAGTAATTCCTCGAAAATTTACAGAAGAAGAGAAAAAGCCTGGAAATACTTTAACCGATTACTATTCTATGCAAACCTACAAGAGAAATCTATTGAAATGATAAACTAAACTTTCTTCATTTCGATTGTATAACAACTGGACCTCTAAATGATACTTTTACGAATGCAAATAAACACATCATTTGATATGCTTGAACTATTACGAGTTCACCTTAGTCGGAAAACAAGAGTGAGAATTGAGGATCCGGTGACACGACAGACTATTCTAATCCGATTTTCCAAAACCCCCATTGAGTAAAAGAAGAAGACTTCATATGAAGTAGAACATGCATTTTACAAGCATCCAGAAAGTACGAGTCCAGAAAAAGGCAAGGATCCCGGACTAAGGACCTGGGTAATAAAACGTTACAGACAATGCATATTTATACAGTTAGGTCGAATAAGAAACAACATTCAAGTATGTGACATTCATAGTTAGGACGACCAATAGAACAAGACTTACAACAATAATTCTCTTAGGATATTGAATGAATATCCTAACAGATACCATCACATTTTCTAAAAATTCTAACATCTGAAAGTTACACTTAATCCTATAAATACTATCGTGTTTTGATGCATAAGCTGATTTCCGAAGAAATGTTTAGACAGTTTTAAGCTTCTGTTTTTAGTTCACCGTTTAACTATGAAAGCTATTCAAGGATCAGACAGTCAGTGTCTATGCGTTCAAGTGCAACTCACTCATTACATACATATATGTATGCTACTGAACTAAAATCACCTCTCTGATCGATGGTGATAAGTTTTCCCATTAATAAAAAATCTAAAAGTACTGGTCAACTCATTGGTTTAAGGGTTAAGAGTTTACACATAACACCCCAAATCCACCATGGTTTGATTCCTGCGTACACTGTTGAAGAACCTTGTACTAGAACGAAATGTCCATTCAATTGATGTGAGGTAGTAAAAGCGAAATATTGATTAGAATAAAATAATATATTTACTACTTCAGTTTTCTTCTCACTCTAGTTCAGTAAAAGAAATAATATATATATATATATATATATATATATATATATATATATATATGTGATAAATTTTAAAACAAGTTTCAATTATCAATAATAAAATAACCTAAACATCTATGGCGCTCACTGTTTTTTTCTTTTACTAAAACAAACAAACAAACAAACAGATTCTTTCTTCCTCACGGATTGACTATTGATCCAAATGGAAATTTCTGGATTACAGATTTAGCTTTGCATCAAGTAAGTTTGACAAAAAAATAATCGATAATGATACGATGAAAAAGGAAATATACTTTTTGATGATTGATGTTATGCATGATTAAACATTATAATAATAATTAGTAGTATTATCATTATTAATGAATTACCGAAATTTCGAAGATTATTTAATCAAGGTTCAAATTCTGAAATTCTTTCCTTCTCAATTGTGATGATCTGTCATAGTTGACTTATTTCTGCTACTTGATATCAACTAGTTAGAAAATTAGTCAATAAATCGAAAAACTAATCAGTTATCATTTTCATCTGATGTAAGTATCTGATGTAACAGTCATATATTAGAATATTTGTATTATTAAAAGGATGAGCGACGTGATTGATAAAGAAGGTGGATTTGGTGCAGATATAAAGACACGGATAAACAGAGCAGCGGCAATATTTCTAGGCTTGTAGAAAGTATGGAACTCAAAATAATTATCTCTTATTCAACACAAAGTGCAAGACCAAACAACAAAGTACGCCTAGAATTGGAAGCAGACATGAAAAGAATGAACAGCAATTGGGTAGAACTTGAAAGGAAGTCACAGGACATAGTAGGTTGAAGAATGAGAGTTGGCAGCTTATGCTCCACCATTAGGAGTAACAGGTGTAAGTAGGTTAAATAAGTGATACTAAAAAGGAAAACCTATTTGTCGACAAGTTGATGATTCTTCAAATTGCTTATACTGAAAATCTATCAGCTTTTAGAGGCTGTGTAATGTTCGTCGTCTGGCCCACAACCTTTTATCGGCTGCTTTGAATTAAGGATAGGGCTCAACACTTTGTGGTTGCTTTGAATTCTAAGTAGGGATCGCTACTTGAGTGGCCTGTGATCCAGTTTAGATGAACAGTCGAATATGCTATGTAATAAATCTTCCCTTCAATTCCTGTATATCATACTCAGGCGAACCCCGTTTGTGAGACGACGGTAATAAAAAGCCGAATACGGTTTTGCGGACGAATTTATTTCATGCAATATTTCACGCTGACACACTTAATAATGAGTAGCACACAAGGAGAGAGAAGCGAACTGAAAAAGGCGACTTAGCCAACTCCCTTTCGATGGAGCATCACTAAGTATGTATAGTAGTAAGTGAAGTAATTGGCACACGCACACACTCAAATAAAAACAACTAAGATATGAGAGAACGACTGACAAGGTCAGAATACATGTGAATAATAACTCAGGAAGAATAAATCCAAAAAACTGTCCAAAGGGTCAGCATAAAAGTACACATATCACACGCTATATTGTATTAAAAAGAGGAATTTTATCTAGATCAGATCGATTTAAGAACTAGAATGCGTCAACTCATTCACAAAACCAAACTAATGATTCTGTTTCAACAATCAAACTATACAGTATGTTGTTAGTTTATTTAAAAGAATATTCAAAGAACCATATATATATAATGATTATATCTCAAAACATAAATGTTCATAAACACTTTAGATGTTATGGCCTTTGATTTCAATAACAACCATTTTTTTAAAAATTCTAATCAGAATAGTTGTCATTGTGTATGATCAAAATATATTGAAAATATGGTTTTACAATAAATATTGATTGATTCAAGTTAAACTCACTTTCAAGGATGATAAAAACACAACTAGTTTGTTCTTAACGCAGTCAAGCATAACAATAACAAATTAAAAAGGAATATTTAAATAAAATTTGTTTTTTAACCGATAAGTGAAAAGTTAAATGATGGGATTTTTATTTATGGATGAAATAACCAGATTTAATCTTACAACTATTGGATTTTTACACCAATTTCATTTATGCATAGCAGTCTGGCAATCTAGCTGATGTAACTTTTTGATAATAAAAAAACTTAATTGAAATCATGAATCAACGATTGTAAGACTACCATTAGAAACCAGGAAGCACTGGATGGCCTTTTCGTCCAAGAATGAGACTCATTAGCAAAGTGCATTCACGACACCCGCACGTGAGAATCGAACTCAGATCCTTTGATCTCGCAAGCGAACGATTAATCTGCAGATCAATGAGCTGACATAACACGGTGTCCATGATTTCGATGCAACACAACAACATTCGTAACTTTATAATGAAAATCATAAAAATGTGCTTACTAGTGACTAGCTTCGTGAGGAAATCCTCAGAGTTATAATGTGAAGACGTAACCAGTGAAATTCAATCCATTTGGGTGTAAGCAGTACCTGCCGAATACAATGGGTGAGGTCACGCAAGACCTTACATTGATTAAAGTAATACATTAGTACTACTGAATGCCGGCTCAGTGATCCAGAGGTCAAATGTTCGCGCGAGACAACAAAGGTCCTGGGGTTCGATTCCCGCATGCATAGGTTGTGGATGCGCACTGCTGATGAGTCTGGTACTAGGAAGAAACGGCCGTCTAGTGCTTCCTGGTTCTTAATGGTGGTCTGACATTGATCGATTCATAATTTCACTGAAATTCAACAATCTCCATATCTCGATAATGAGGAATACTTAACTTAAATTCCTCATCCTGACTTTTAATCCTAATTGACGCTAGTTCACACGCTATTGCAAAATTAGTTAGTAGCTGAATTTTATTTAGGATCGTTTTAATACTATCCAAAGATCGTACCAAAACTAGTTTATTTACCGTGGTTTAATTAATCATAAAAGCAAAACAAAAAACTTGCTACTTATAAGTAGTATAGTGAAAATACAAGAATTTAACAACCGGAATAATTTTTTTCTCTACATATATAAAAGGTTTTTAAATTCTCTCTAAATTTATCAAATGAACCATTATTAACACTTGGTGAGCGTTTCAAACCTGGTTCAGGTGAAAATCAATTTTGTAAACCAACTGATGTAGTAGTTTCTTCAAATGGACTGGTTTTCATCTCTGATGGGTAAGTCAATTTTCATTATTTTCTTTCTTATGAATGTTTTATCATGTCTGATTGTTTCAGTATAGGACTTAATCATCCAGGTAGTATCACTAGCACTCTCCGTCTACACACACACACACGCACACACACAAGGTTTTGTGGATGCAAGTTGAATATATGAATTTACGCTTAACTAACTATTACACTATATCCAAATAAACTAAGAAAATTTATCAACTCTAATAAATAAAATTTAAGTTTTCAATAAATCTCTTTTCACATTTTTCGCTAATTATTTCTCCGTTCTATCTACTATGTTGTGGTCTTTCATGTATATCTTTTTTGCCTGTAATCAATATATCTTATGTGTTGAATATGATCATAAAGTCAACAGTCACTGACTACTGAAACTTTCATATAACTTCATGTTAGTAAAAAGCCTAAAATACTTTTTGGCATTAGGAATCTAGAAACTATGTGTATGTTCAACTGATTAATCATTGATTAGTGTCAGCTCGTCCAGATCGATAGGATTCGATCAATGCTAAGGAGAAGCTGACGTGGATGATATTAACCATAACATGGAGGTCAATCACTATCCAGATAGCTTAGCAGTAACGTCTCTGACTGTGAGGCTGGATGACACGAGATCTAATCCACCTGGGAGCATCAGTTCTCGTAAGATTATAGGTACATCTTGTTGATGAGTGCCTAATAACACGAAACGTAGTGTCAGGGTTTTCTATCGACTTCTTTCAATCACTATTTTACAAACCATATGTTTCAGCAATATCTAACCAAATAGGATGTGCAATTGTATATCTCATTCAACAAACAAATAAATGAGTTTTAAGAAATCAATAAGAAGTTGTATAAATTATTATAACAATGAGATTATCTTCATTAATCGTGTGTTTACAAGTGAATTAACTTGATCATGAATTGTTAAATAGTTTAACAATAAAATGTAACCTATTCAAGTCCAATCAGCAGCAATGTAGAACTCCGTACGTACGTACTTACGTACATCAGTTCAAGTTGCCATACAACATTAGCACAGAAATGTACTTGTCAATTCAAATCCTACAGTAGTAAAGGTATTAACAGTAACCAGACAGATTAGGGTTCGTAGATATTATTCAAGAAGTAGAATCTAGTGAAATAATCTTAAAAAGAAAAAAATGTAAAGGTGATGAGGAACTATGAAGGTTAAGATTTCAGAGAACACAAACAATGGATGCACCTGGGCCACTGCAAACGACTTTGAGCCATTTCATTCAGTGACTCTAACCATCGATTTCTATTATCTCGTGGACCCCAACCGGGTAGTTGACACCTACTGACATAACTTAGTCCATTTGTCAGTGACTTCATGGATTTTTGCCATGTTTTGGTTTGGCCACCCCTAGCTTTCTTCCAACCTATTCCTACACCTTAAAATATAGCTTGAAAGGGCAGTTAATGGTTGGGCATATGTAACGCATGTCGCAACGACCTCAACTGATGAAGTTTCAATACTTCATCTATTGACCTGTCATCCTTAGCTAGCGCTCATTTCCTAACAACAGCATTCAAGTTAGTTATATCAAAAGTGACATAAATAAGACATTAATGATATCTTAAGACAATTGTTCTTTTACTTTTTAAGTGAAGTGGTTTTTTAAAAATTAATTTACTTGTAGGTTATGTTCGTCATAAATTCATCTTATTCGTTGGAGTTCTAATGAAGAATCGTGACTAGTGGATTTCAGCCATCTCTTGTACAGAGTAATTTCATCATATCCGTGTTATTCAAGAGACTGTTACCCAGTAATATAAATCTATTGAAGTTAGGCACTGGATATCGACTCAGTAGTCTGAAGGATATCTAATCTCTAAGAAAATTAAACATCTTAGTTTCCATCCAACAAAGAGGTCACTGGTACACGTTGTTGTGAAGTTACTTATTAAAATGAAATAACTATCCAGTTTTTTCTAGTTTTCAATGGTTGTTATCTAACTAAATGTTAATTTGTAATGTGACCTATAAGATTCAACAAACCCTTAAGATTTCTTATGTGAATATATGTACAATTGTTTTATCTTTCCTATTAAAAAAATACAATCATTTCTTTTCAAAAATTTCCTTCAACATATATATTTTTTTACACACTAATCTCCATAACTCTAATTGAAAATATTGTAAAATGTGCTCATTAGTGACTAGCTTCGTGAAGAAATTCTCAGAGTTCTAGTTGAGAAGACGTGACCAGTGGAGTTCAACTGTGTCGGGTGTAGGCAGTAACTACCAAAAACAAATAGGTGAGGTCACGCAAAATCCCTAGATCAATCAGAGTTAGACATTAATACCGTTGGATGCCGGCCCAGTGGTCCAATGGTTAGGCGTTCGCGCACAATACCGAAGGTCCCAGGTTCGAATCCTTCGAGGTGCATGAGTCGTAGATGCGCACTGCTGATGAGTGGTCCCGTAACAAGACAAAAAGGCCACCCAGTGCTTCCACGTTTCTAATGGTGGTCTAACAATGACTGATTGATGATTTCAAATGTGTAAAAACACTACTCTCCATAACTCTAATTGAAAATATGCTTTCTTTTTTCAAAATTTTTTATTAGATATTGCAATAATCGTATAATGAAATTTAATGAAAATGGAAAATTTCTAAAATCTTGGGGTTACGAAACAAAAGGTAAATTTAGGATCACATCATTTATGCTTGTGATGTAATAATAATAATAATAATATTTATTCTCAAATGACAGTACATTACAAGAGGCATGCCAGTTTACAAGCTAGATCAGATTGTCACAAATGCTTTCACATTTACTGTTATAGTTATCGCAGTTAAATTAAGTATAAGTTTCAGTTTCTGATATCATGCTTACACCATATCACTGACAGAAACAATATAATACAGCCACATTTTCAATAGGAGAGTACAAATAGGGAAGATGTACAGTAAGTTTCTTGGGCTGTTTGCTTAGATCAATAGTGAATTTGTTGTTGGGAAAGGTCAGTTGGAACGCGCTTAATAAAAGATGTGCTCCAGACATGCATGTACATAGGGTACATATGACGTAGGTGCATTCATACTTTATGTACTCTCAAATTCTAATCTTCTGAATTACTAATCAGCTTCATCTTTCTCTACTCAAACTTGTTTCCATGAATTATAATGATTGGATAATATCTTTAAAACCTAATCTTTCCGATTACTGATCATACTTTTACTACCTCTACCACTATGTCATTTGAATCAACAGTTGTATCTCTGTGATATAGCAACTTGAACTGATGTACGCATACGTAACAAGTGCTAGGTTGTAGCTGACTGACTTATGCATACCAGATCAAGTCTACATTCGTGTGTGGATGTACATGAAGGTGGCGTATTCTTCGTAGGACTTTATTGTTACTTTTTTAATCAAAATGTATTTTATTAAATTATCAATGCATTGACAAATATTATACATAATGAAAATACCATTGAAATGGCATAGATTTGCACGTTGCACTTGAATGTTTTCACTAAACTATTAAATGTATGAATAGGAGTTACCTTCTATTCCAATGTTTACGATAACTTTCTTTTGTCTTACTGATTCCTTGTAAGTATTGGAAAACTAAATGCCAAATGTAAACATAATCTTCATACATTCATTTCCAAAACAAGGAAGTTTTTGATTGTCTTCTTTCTCATCGTTTTTGGTCTTTTAATATACTCTGATTACGCTGTGCATTTAAATAGGCAGACATTTTTTTTCTTTAGTAGCAACTTCTAAGCGACGCTTTGCTGCATACTACTTATAAACGACTTTGTGAGTAATAACTATTACACTTTGAAATTCCAACAGCTTTTGGTTTGATACTTGTTAGAGATAGTTCGGTTACTCCTAGTATCGAAGGTTATATTGTGTATTAGCCTTTCTAGTCTAGCAGACTTAACAGGTTCATTGTATAAATTGTTAAGGAAATTTAAGTTAGAATAAGGTTTATAGAAAATTGTGGAACCATTCTTTTTCTTCAAGTTCATGAATCAATTGTAGTGTGCATAGGGTGAAGTAATTGATGAGGTAATTTTATTCAACTAACACCAAAGTTATTGAAAATTGATTGACTGGATCAACCAATCTAACATATTTTTCTAATAATGATCATATATTAACTTGTTTCTAGCTTCGAAAGCACTTTGCACAGTTCTAATTAAAAGTTATTGGCAGTAAAGTCCAATTAGGTTTGACTAGTAGCAGCAGTAGGTCTCAACACACATAAAGGGAAAAGCAAGATTCTACGGTACAACACAACATGCGCCAACCAAATCACTCTTGATAGAGATGCCTTGGAGGACGTTAACACCTTTATATATCTAGGCAGCAGCATCGACAATCAAGGTGGATCCGATGCAGATGTGAGGGCACGGATTGGCAAAGCGAGGGCTGCATTTCTACAGTCGAAAAATATCTGGAACTACAAACAACTTTCGACCAAAACCGAAATCAGCATTTTCAATACAAATATCAAGACAGTTCTACTGTATGGAGCGGAAACTTAGAAAACTACCAAAGCCATCATCCAGAAGATACAAGTATTTATTAACAGTTGTATACGCGAAATACTTCGTATTCGTTGGCCAGATACCATCAGCAACAACTTACTGTGGGAGAAAACAAACCAGATTCTAGTGGAGGAAGAAATCAGAAAGAAGCGGTGGAAGTGGATAGGACACACACTACGAAAAGCATCCAACTGCGTCGTCACAAGACAAGCCCTCATATGGAACCCTCAAGGTGAAAGGAAAAGAGGAAGGCCAAGGAACACATTACGCCGAGAAATAGTAAAAGACATGAGAAGAATGAACAAAAACTGGGAAGACACTGAAAGGGAAGCCCAGGACAGAGTTGGTCGGAGAAAACTGGTTGGTGCCCTATGCTTCATTGGGGGAAACAGGCGTCAGTAAGTAAGTAAGTTAGATAAATATCACTGATAATAGTGGATAATAATATAACAGAATAAAGATATTACTTTGAAGTTAGAGATACGACTCAATGATCGAAATAGTAATTCACTTAAGATAATGGATTTGATTTCCAAATGAGATTTTAAGTGTCTGTCTGCTAGAGAATTATTTTCATATTAGGAGGAAAAGACGATGCCCCTTTCCTTACCGCACCTCAGTCACCAATAATTTCCTAGATGAAATCAGTTGATGATGTAAGTATCATTGAAATAAAAAAAATTTCTACAAATATTTATCTATGAATACTCTAATAATTTCATACTATATATATTATTCTTTATGTAATTTATAAATATTAGAAATTATTTTCAATTTTCAAATACCATTGATTATATTTACTTTACAAAATTCAATAGATTCAAAATCTCCAGGACCAAATGAATTAAATCTTCCACATCAATTAACATTATTGGAAGAAGAAGACGCGATCTGTGTAGCAGATAGAGAAAATAAACGTATTGTATGTTATACAGCTGGTTTATATTCAACAACATTACAGAATACTGGTGAATATTTATTTGAATATAATCAACCAGAGATGAGATCTATTTATGGTGTAGCTATTGAATCATCAAGTAGGTTATCTATCATTTTGACTGTGTTTATGCGTTCAAATCACATGATTGTTAAAACTATTATTGAAATTCTGGAAGCACTAAACAATCATTTCGTCCAAAGATAAGGTTTATCAGCAGTGTGTATCCGCAACCCTGTTGACAAGTCGCAAACCGGGACGAAATGGACATCTAGTGCTTCCAGGTTTTCAATAGTGGTCTAATATTGATCAGTCCATGAATACAGTAAAATTCAACACTCTTCACAACCCTAAAACTAACAGTACTTTACTGGTAACAAAACATTCTGCAATGCCGTCAATCACAGACTCTACATGTACTAACTATTGTCAAAACAACCAAACTTGGATCTTTGATACTGATGTTCAGCCGAACAGTGTGAAGATAAAGACAAACGCAACTTCATTAACTCTTTAAGAGACTACTTAAGATCGTAAATATCTTTTTACTAGTGATTTCTACTCTGAGTTTCACTTTGTGTGGATTACTTGGATTTCTGTTGATGATACTAACAATATACAGACTATAATCTGTTTCTTTATTGTCGGTGTTGATTTATGATGATATGATCTACTACTCTACTGGTCTCATAATCTTCCGTAGTGTACCCAGTTATTCTATTCAGTCAATTATCTTGAATATCATATCTTGGACCCAGAGTATTATCGTACTATCTAGAAGTTGATGACAAAGTGTATAGTTTCATCTCAACACCAATTATCTTGTCTGATTTCTAAATTTTAACTACTTCTCACTGATTGGTAGTTAAATCCAAGATGGAACACACCAAGGTCAAACTGAGTCAAATAGGCTGATGTTTATAAACTGAAATATTATTGGTCAATTCATTTATGGACTAAAACAAACACAGAATATCATCAATATTGACTAGCTTCGTGAGGAAATTCTCGGAGTTCTAGTGAGAAGACGTGACCAGTAGAGTTCAACTCTGTCGGGTGTAGGCAGTAACTACCAAAGACAAATGAGTGAGGTTGCGCAAAATCCCTAGATCAATCAGATTTAGACATTAATACCGTTGGATGCCGGCCCAGTGGTCCACAGGTTAGGTGTTCGCGCAGAATACCGAAGGTCTCGGGTTCGAATCCTGCGAGGAGCAGGAGTCGTGGATGCGCACTGCTAATGAGTAGTCCCATACCAGGACGAAACGTCCATCGTGCAGTGCTTCCAGGTTTCTAATTATGGTCTAACAATGATTGATTGATGATTTCAAATGTGTAAAAACACAAACCTCCAAAACTCTGCCTCAAAATATTGATAAAAGCAATATTTTTCTTATCATTAAAAATAACTACTCACTTTTTTTTAAACCAATTTTATTTTTACTTTCAATTATTTATTTATTTATTTTTCCTTAGGAAAATTAATGTTTGCTCTAGTGGGTTCAACACCTGATGAAGATAATTCAAAAGTGGAAATTATCGATTTCAATTCACAAGATTTGATTGGTGAAATCAGAAATGAAGGAAAAACAGTAAGTGATGACTTGAAGAGTAAAAAAAAAACAGGACTGTTAATTTTACTCTACCCTTATGACATATATGGTATAAGAGTTGATAGTGATATTCAATCAGTCCAAAAATATAGAAAATTACGCCTCTAATAGCAAATATCTCATTCTTTCGAAGTGTACAAGCCACTCCTTAGACAATTTCATAAACTTATCATTCGGTCGATGTCAGACATCCACAACTGATGATTCGCAAATAGGATGAATCCCATGTCCACTGGATTTCAATAATACAATACAACCATTTCATAAAATACTCGTATTTCCCACATTTTATTTCTGTTAACAAATTAATTTTACCTGTTTTTAAATATCTGAAAGTACTAAATCACTACCTGATAAGATGAAGATTGATTTGTGACTATTTTTCACAATTGTCAAGCAATTTAAGGTAATCGAAATGATAGTGTAAGCCGACAATTGTTGTTAGCCTGGATTAGGTTGTAGAGACTATTAAGTTTTAATTGAAATCATGAACCGATCAATTTTAGACCACCATTAGAAAATTGAAAACACTGGACGGCCGTTTCGTCCTACCACAGCACTCCTTAGTAATGCTCACTTAGGACCTACAGTCTCACTCTTGAACTCTTAACCTCTTGACTATTGAGTCAGTATCCGACAGCGGTAATGCCTAATCCCAATCAACCCATGATATTGCGAGACCATCATTTATTGTCTTTGGTGGGTAACGGCCTTACACCCAGCACAGTTGAATTGCACTAGTCACGGCTTCTCACTAAAACTTGGAGAATTTCATCACCATTCTAGTAACTTATGAGTATGGTTTTGTGAAAGATTGTTAAGTTTCATTAAAATTACGAAGCGACCGTTAGTCTGCACTTGTTATCAAGAGTTTCTTGAAAACTTTACTATTAAAATCACATCTATTAATTCTAGTAAACTGAAGACTGTATAATACTGGGTAAAGAAAATTGGGATGAGAACAAGCTGATTTCTTGTGATCCGTAGAAAACAAAGATAAAGGCTTATGGAAATCATCTTTCAATTAAGAAAAAGATGATTTTGCTTGGTTTCTGTGAAACTAAATAATCTCCAAAACTCCAGAATGAAAAATCATAAAATTTGATTACTCTAGTGACTATCTTCGTGAGAAAATTCTTGTAGTTTTCTAGTGTGAAGCCGAAACTAGTGGAGTTCAACCTTATCGAGTATAAGGCAGTTACCCGGTAAATGGATGAGATTATACAGTACATTGGATTGATTAAAGTTAGACATTAGCACCGTTGAATGCCAGATCAATGGTCTACAGCTTAAGTGTTCAGGCGCCGGATCTAAGGACATAGATTCGATTCATCAAATATCCTAAGAAAATTATTTTTGGAAATCTAATTCTATTGGTCGATTCCTACTGGTCAATATTATGGTTGTCCTAACTATCAATGTCACGTACCTCATTGTTTCCCATTGGTTGTTCTAACTACCAATGTCACAGACTTCAATGTTTACCTATTCGACCTAACTGTATAAATCTGCATTATCTTTAAAGCCTAGGATTCCCTCATCCCTTCTGCACTCAACCCCATAAACAACTTCATCTCAAGGTATTGTGTTCTGATATATTGGATATTTGGGAACAGTATTTGGGGTCATATTGAAATATCAGATCTTGGTCAGTCGGTAGGATTCGAATAGCTACATAGCGGCATTATAACACCCACTACCGATAAATCCCATACTATGGACGAAACGGCTATCTAATGCTTCCATGTTCTAATGGCAGTCTAACAATGATCGATTCATTATTTCACTAAGATAAATAAGTAGTATACTAGATTATCTATAAAATATTTTATTGTTTACCTCTTTTTTTTCTTATTCTCAAGGGATTCGGTGATGTACATTCCATTGCAACATGTCCATCATATGGAAGAAATAGAAAAAGTTGTGTATTATTTTGTAATACAAATTTACCATCACAATTGAAATCAATAAATAATACTGTAAACAATAAAAATATCTCGAATTATGAAAATTATCCAAATCAAGAACAATTAGAACGACATTTATGGCTTTATCATTTACAATTTAATTCAGAATATAATTATTATTAAATAATAAATAAAATAATCATAACATTCAATAAATCAATCTGAAAATATTATATTATTGAATAAAATAATAATGATAATTAACATAAATACAAGGTCGTTTTATTATTTTTTTTAAAAAGAAAAAGAACACTATTTTTGTTATTAGTCAATGTGTAACTTAACAATCTTCACAACCCTGTAGTGCAAATTACCTGAGCTCATTAGTGACTAGCTTCATGAGGAATCTTCTCCGATTTCAAGTGGGAAGACGTGACCAGTGAAGTTCAACCTGTTCCGGTGTAGACAGTAACTACCGAAGATTGGGTATGAGGTTGAGCAACTGCGTGAATTTGATCAAGTTAGACATTAACACCGTTAGATACCGGCTCAGTGGTCCGATGGTTAGGCGTTCGCCTACGATACCGAGGGTCCTGGGTTCGAATCCTGCGCGGTGCAGGAGTCGTGGATGCGCGCTGCTGAGGAATCCCATACCATGGACGAAACGGCCGTCCAGTGCTTCCAGGTTTCTAATGACGGTCAAACATTGATCGATTCATGGTTTCATAAATGTGTATTAGTAAATTGGTATTTGTGAATGAAATGTTCAGTCATGATCTGGTTAAAATCAATTTGCGATTAGAATAGTGAAATCTTTTGATGAATTCATTTTGAATCAAATTACAGTTGATAGCTATGATGTGATTTAGTCATCAGTGGATTTATAATAATTTTTACTCTTAAAATTTTGTTACAATTTTCTGATTCTATTTACTTTATTTAAACAAATAAATATTGATACAAATAGGTCACCGAAATATCAATGAGTGGGCTGGGATATTGCTTAAACGATAAAACCAAAGTGGGTGATTTTCTTATAGGTTCATTCCCTAAGCTTTTGATCTACATGTCGAATATAAAAAGCAGTAGAGCAACGTTAAGAAATGCAGTTCCATAGTAGTCGGTCACCAACAATAGGTTCATACAGAAATTGTTCCATCTGGATTCCATGTGAACCAATGGTTCGGAATTAGGATTTTTTAACTCCCCTAGGTGAATCCCTCATTAACATAAACTCGGTTTAAGCATTGGTTGGACATTCGCTTTTCATTCTCTCAACTTCTTAAACAATAACCCTTCCTAGGTAAGGCAGTGAGTAGGAATTTCTTGCCAGTTGCTATATCTGTACGGAGGTATGAGAGGATTTCGAGAGGGAGAGCGGAAGACATCAATGATCAAACATACCAGTATTCTGCGAATACCTTCCACTTCTGAAGCCGATATCCTACAGCTATAATATATATACTAATAATTGTGACTAGAATTCGTAGTTGACTATACAAACGTGGTCTGTAGATTGTGTTCGCGTGAGAGAGTTGATTCCCGCGGGTGGGAGTCGTAGATACACACCGCTGGACAGTACCATATTAGGACTAAACGACTGTACGGAGCTTCCAGGTTTGTAATAATGGTATGACAATGACCCACTCAACATTTCAAAGAAACTCAACAATCTTCACAAGTGACAATTGTTTAAGTTTCCTTCTCATAGATTACTCATCCATGGGATATGTATGAAATAATTGCGATGTATTCATTAGGACTTGTGTCTTAGTGTGTAACATTTAAGAATAATGTGATTTTGACGTATGAGTTAAGATTGAATTAAGCTAACTGTTTAGCTATTTAAAAATAACTGATACTTCTAACTGAGAAATCATTAATTATTTACAAGAATGAGCGAGAGTAAGAAGTGAAAACAGGGTATGTGTGTCTATATGTTGACTTACTTTTATGAATTCGAGTAAATGAGTCACATAATATATGCTTACTTGAGCAAATACTAATATAGACTATAATCTACTTGGGAAAAAAAGTTATCAATTCTATCCTAATCAACTTGATCAATTTTTCACAAAATCTTCAGTCAGTCAGACAATTACAACATAGTACTTCGTACATGCGTACATCAGTTCAGGTTGCCATACCGCATTAGCACAGAGACACCACTGTCAGTTCAAATCCCATAGTGGTGGAGATAGTAGAAGAATTACTGGTAATGGAGAATGTTAGGGATCGAAGATATTATTCAAGAAGTGTAGTTCAGTGAGATAACAGCACGCGAGACCGGATAGGTCAGAAAAAAATTCTTCCCACTTTAGAAAGAGGAAGATGTAGATGATGAGAAATTCTGAAAATTAAAATTTGAGAGAACACAGTGAATGAATGCATCTGCGCCATTGCAAACGATTTTGAGCCATGTCGTTGAAGGTCACAAAACCTTCAGAAACTTTGAATGAATTTCAACTAAACAGAATTTAAAATTATTCAAGAAACAATAAAATTTATGAAGATTATAACTAAAATAAAAATTCAATCGACTTCACAGCTCAACCATGTTAGTAAGTGTAGACTACATGGTTGGGTGGGATAAGTGTGATAACTGTAACCAGTAGGTTAGAGACTATGTATGAAATGACTGAACATTATTTCCAATGAAGCAAATGCATCCAATCTTTGTCTTCCCACAGCTACTAAGCTTCTGACTTCTTTTTTTGTTAAATTCATTTCACTGGTTCATATCCTCAATCCTTAATCTTTAAGATTACCGTTAATACAGCTACTAACTCTTAAACACTATGGGATTTGAACTAACAATTCCATCTATATGTACTAATAAGGTATGGCAACTTAAACTTATGCACGGTACAAGTACCACATTCTACATTGTAACAACTGAATGAGTCAATTAGTCAAAATAAAATGTGTGCACCTTTTATATGCGATGTAATCACATCTCACAAACTCAAGATCATTATAGAAATTTTTTACAACATTAAAATCTATTCTTCCGTTATAACAATCTGAAAGCAATTCACACAGAATAGGTCGTAAGAGACTGATTAAATGCAGTTCCAACTATCAATATGTAACTATATTCATTTAAATTCATCACAGTACACAAGCCAGCGCCTCTATCTGAACTCAGTAGCTAATTGGATATACCGCAAACGATTCTAGGTTCGACAATGGCATGTGGCAAGTGATCCAGATAGAAACGAGTCACAAGCGGGGCGAAATATGAGTTTTAAATTCCCCTGCTAGCCATAATCCATCTCTGTCAATTTCAAACTTTCTGCCAACGGCTAGCAATCAGACACTTACGCTCGCCACCATACCACCCGTAATCGAATGAGTAGGCGGAAAGGTTTGTGAATGCGTTTAGAAGCGCATTGGTTAAGTCAAAAGGAGAGGGGACGCCAGCCAATGCGTTACAAAATTTCTTGTACGTCTATCGAACAACACCAAATGGGAAGAGGACTGAAAACGGCTAGCTCCAGATCGTCCATCAAGAGCAAAAAATCTTCCCCTTGACATCCTGCTAGATACGTTCAACTTACCGGCAACCCCACCATGAGAAGAAACTCAGTCACAAGCTTTACTCCGTCCCAGAAGAAATCCTCTCTGACAGAGGCGAGTTGACCCAAGGAGCGCACACTATGTAAAAGGGGAGGAGTGTTGTGGATGTTCGACCCCCAGAACTAGCTTAATAAATGTCTTTATTTTGTAGTTATTTCATAGGCTGATCAGTTGACCTTGAGATCACATTTCCCACCAAGAAAATCATCGGCTTTGATTGGTTGACATGTTATTTTAGTGTGTTATTTTGTAACTCTTCCAAAGACGTCTCTATGGTGTATAAACAAACGCAGTTTGTGTGCTTGATTTCATCGTATGCTGTCTGGGTGTTTGTAGAATACACTTTCTACGCTATATCAAGACTTCTTGCTAGTACAATTGGGACAGTCAAATCAGAGTAGCCTAACCTGGGCGCTAGTTCATAGTTTGTTTTATCCTCATTATTCAACTACGGTGAACCCGTGTAACAGATTTATAATAAAAACATTGAGATAATCTGTACAAAATCTACATTTTCCATAAGACATTGACCAATTACAATTTTCAATATCAATAGGAATACTTAAACAACCAATAGTATACATTATTTATACAAATATAGATATATATATACACATATGTAATGATTAAACCAATCAATAATTAGAAATATAATAATAATAATCACTTCATGATTTATATTTACAAAAGTTTTTTCTTTTTATCAGGTGATGATAATATTAATGATAAATCATCATTTGTATCTGTATCTTGTTGAAGTAATATATCAGTGACAGTATTTAAACAAGTTTGTAATAATTTATTTTGTTCCGTGGAACCAGTTGTAAAAACATGATTATTACTAGTAGTATTAGTAGTATTATTGTTCGGTTGATGATGAATAGACATAATCATTGAATGAATTTGTATTAACAATTCTGGACATCCATAAACATTGGCTGCAAAACGTAGTCGATTTAATTCCTATACAGAAAATGTAGAAAGAGAAAAAGATAACTATCCTTAATGGACACATACATAAAAATAAATCGTGGATGTTAATAAAAAGCAGTTCAACTTTTACTTACTTTACTTACGCCTGTTACCCCCCAATGGAGCATAGGTCGCCGACCAGCTTTCTTCAAACTACTCTATTCAGCACCTTCCTTTCTAGTTCTATCCAATCGCTCTTCATTCTTTACGTGCCTGCCTCCGATTCTCGGCATATTGTGTTCTTTGGTCTATCTCATACCCTTAGGCCTTGACGAGTCCAAATGAGGACTTGTCTTGCGATGCAGTTGGTTGCCTACCTCAGTATGTGTCCCATCCACATCCAGCGCTTTTTCCTCATTTCTTCCTCTGTTGAAATCTGATTCGTTTCCTCTCACACTAGTTTGTTGCTGATGATCGGATCCCTAGTATCTTGCATAGACAACCGTTAATAAACATCTGTATCATGTGGATAATGGCTTTCATGGTGATATGCTTGTAACTATATTACTACTTCACCTTACTCAGTAACGAGAGCGAAGACAAATGATGCAGTGACATGATAGGCTGTTCAGATTCGATTGTCTCCCGCACTGCTAACGATATCAAAAGTCTTGATATGGCGTGGAAAGTGTATTCTACAAGCACTCAGAAAATATGAGGTCCTCAAGCACATAAATCGAGTTTATTTATACATCGTAGAAACGTCATTGGAAGAGCCACGAAAATAGCGTACTAAGATAACACATCAACCAACGACAGTCAAGGATTTTCCATGTAGGACGTACTCTCAAGGTCAACTGATCAGCCCATGCTCGCAAACAAAATACAAAATTAGGACCATTATCAAGTGAGTTCTGAGGATCTAACGTCCCCAACACTTCTCCCCTTTCTAATAGCGTGCGTTCCTGTGGTCGACCTGCATCTTGACTGTTGTTCGCCGCTGTCAGAGAGGATACCTTTTGTAACAGGGTTCAGCTTGTTGTCGCGTTTCTTCTCGTGATGGGGATGCCGGTAAGTTGAAGATATCTAGCAGAATGTTAAGGGGAAGATTTGTTCCTATTGATGGGAGATCTGGGGCTAGCCGTTTGCGTTCCTGATTTGGATGGCATGACCACCTTTCGCCTCCTACCTCTACTTCGTACACTACACGCCCAACTCTTCTGACCACTCTCGCTTCTGTCCAAGGACCACAGTTTGTTCTGTAGTCACGGGCAAACACAGAACATGCCACTTCGTACGTAGTTTGCTTTTCAGATTTTTTCTCTACTGCTGTTGATACATTACTCGGATGCATTTGGCTGTCTTCTTCCCATCAGGATTTCTGCTAGGGACTTTTGCTCCGGTAACAACTCATTTAATGTTGTTCAATAAACCTACAAAAAATTTTGTACCACGTCGGCTGGTGTCCCCTCGCCTTTTGGCTTAACCCATGCTCTTTTAAACGTATCTACGGTGGACTGAATTGATTTTCAATTTGATATTTCTTTTCAGGCATCAGGTTTAGTCGCCAAACTTTTAATAGTTCAGTATTATCCAACATCACTAGAGAGATCTTTAATTTACTTCTTAACTGTTATAGAAACAGATGAAAAATTAACCGCTCATAATGTAGGCGAAATTTATTTGATAATTTCACAATACGCTTGTTTTATTATCGTCTCCTCTGTTCAAAGTACCCTATTGACATCTTCAACTACTTCGTTTCAACTTTTTTGTTAACTCTATGCTACCCAAATTACTTCTTCACATGATCTTTTTTCAGTTCCAAAATCAAATGAAAAACGTATAGAGAATAACCCTGGTAATTAGAAATCAAGATCACATGATATTATGATTGAACCACAAGCTGAAACTCGCTGGATGGGCTGTCACATTGTCATGTATTTATTAGACAGATGGCTTAAGAAGTAATTACAGCGTTTATCGATTATTCGTATCACAAACTGACTCAAATCAGATAGTAGTTAAAAACCAGGAAGCAATAGGCAATCATCTCGTTATAGCGTGAGACTTTTCAGCTCAACAGGAATCGAAACTATGACCTTCAGACGTTGCAGTGAGAGCCTAACTTCATATCATTTAGTCAGTGACATCTAATCACCAACATGCCTACTTCCACTTACTTTGTGAGACTTTCACGACGATTTATAATTGTCTTCGCTAGGTAACCATCTCATATTAGACATAGTTCAGTTCTGTTGGTCATGGCTTCGATTATTAGTTGATAAAGACTAATTATCAAGGTGGTAGACATTTAAGTACAATACCATTTGGTATTTGTTTAAGCAACAAGTTTGTATATTTCTTGAACAGGAAATGTATTTTGCATCAGTACATTGGTGAAGGTTAAAAAACCGGAAAGCAAACATGTATACATAGTAATACGCAGTAATAATAATAATCAAAACAACAGATTTACTCACTTTATAAAGTAATGCAGATTTATCGGGTAGACGTCGACTTAAACGAAGTACTTTATTAATATCCATTAGCATTGCTGATTGAGATGACCAAGAAACATAACGTGAACAATCTTTATGAAAGAAAATTTTAAAAACAACCGTTATTTATTGTTACAAATCAGAAAAATAGCTTGCAAAACAGATAATAGGATAAGTGACTTCAGGTCAAAAGGTTCCATGTTCCATGTTCGGCTCAGTGGTTTAGTCTCCGAATGATCAGGTACAGCCAAAAGTGGAGAGGAGTTTGCTCTCTTGCTCGAAATCCTCTCATATAACCACGTGTGTACAGTCACTGGCTGGGAAGTCCTACTTACTGTCTTTTCGAGGCGGTATTATTCGAGAAATTGAAAGGACAAAAACCAAGTGTCCGGTGTGAGCTTAAGTCGGGTTAGTGGATACGGAGTATCAACCTAAGAGAGTTGGGGAACCCTAATTCCAAAAACAAACGGTGTATATGAGCCCCATGATTCTGATAAGACGAATGGCATATGAACCTATATGGTTGATCGTCGACTACTATGGGACTGCATCTCTTAATGTGGATACACTGCTTTGTAGATTAGACCTGTAGGTCAAAGGCTAATAGGATGACACTCTCAAGTTACTGAACTTTTTCAATTGATAAATATCCATTTCTTTGCTGTAACGATAATCGTAATAAAATTTTTCCCCGATTCATATTTTTATGAGGACGATTGTTTATGGTGATTGTAGAATGTTCACTTTTAAATTACGAACTTATTTTGGCTAGACTACCAGTGGAAACCTGAAAGTCCTGGAGAGGCGTTTCATCCCAGAATGAGGATCCTCACGACTTCTCATGCAGGGAATATAGATACACACTGCTTAAGAGTTCCATACTAGAACTAGACACCTATCAAGTACTTCCAGATTTTCAATGATTGTTTAATTTAAATCATGATTTCAAACTATGATAATTAATATTTCTCTATGACCTTTGCTGTCTTCTTATTGGTTGTTTCTACTGTCATGTTTTGTTGATATACATATATACACAGTTGGTTTAGTTCAATTTCGCTTCATTGAATTTCACAGAAAATTTACTGTACTACTAACTTCGTTTGAGTTTTATCATTGAGGGATTATTTCGTTGAAGTGTTGTTATACGCCAGTTGTTGTTATATTGTCAACATTACAATACATTCAACTTCATAATAAACAAATCTTAATTGTTCGCAGTTGGAAATTTCCATCGATTCAACTTAACTCTATTTCAAAATCAATTTCTAGAGATTGAACACTAGAAAAGTCAAAAAATGCAGCTTTTATTCACTGAGTTGTGCAATCTAGTTTGTAGGGAATTCAAACAAACAAATTATGTATAGATGTAATTTAGTTATCGGTTATGATGAGGATAGATTCTTGCGTGTTATTATTCAGCTGCTATCTAGTGGTTCAATAAATTTCAAGATTATTTTTTAGACAATAAATCTATATATATATTATAAATCAATATAGTTATTAGTTAACTCCTTGTTAACTTATTCAATTATTTATCCATAATGATATCATACAAATTTGATTAGCCACCAATTGCAGACGGGTGTGACAGCAGCAAAGTGTTTCCCTCGAACAACCAGCATCTGCAGCGATGCTGTCTTCTCAAAACGGAAGGAAAGGGTTAGAATAGGTCGACCCTAAAAATTTCACACCTCACCTCAACCCACGGATCTCTGTCTTCAGCGGTAAGGCCATTTGAGGAGCGGAGCTAACACCTCAAGCAGTTATCCCTTTGGCTCTGCCGATCACACTCCCAGGTCGCTAAGACCAACGCTAATCCAACTTCATTTTTGAAGTTCGTCAAAAAATAACGCTTCTATGGTTTGGGCAACCGAGAAGTGATATCCGTCCTGATACTCCCTAACAGCACGCAATTGATTAGCCAGTGTACCGTTAACAAATTCAAGTAGAAAAATAAACCAATGACATGGATAATAACAAAAAAATTAAAATATGAATAAATATATACACTATACCAATTTTATAACTTAAATGATCCGGTGTTCGAACAGGGAATGGTGAAGTTTCATTTTTATCATCGTATAATTGAGAACCGGCAAAATCTGTCACAGGTGCTAAATGACTAAAATTACCCAGCCAAGGTAAACCAGTACATTCTGAAATATAAACAATTAAATAAATACATAAATAATAATAATAATAATAAAATGAAAAAAGCCAATTTAATGAAAAGCTTATCTATACTCTAACTCCGCCAGGAGCCCTTCTGAGGTTACCGTCGGTCCAAAGCTCGAATCAAGGCGGCTTGGGCGTGGGGTTAGCAACCGCATCCCATAGAAAACTAACTCGCTAAATAGATGCTAACTAAAAAATGTCTTCATTTAGAAGAGTCATGACGCCTCACGATGAGAGTAGAGTTTCTTCGAAAGTCACGAGACTGATTTCCCTTCTGACAATCAGAGCAACCATTCAGATAGGCATATGGAATGTGAGTATATTGAAAAAGACCGAGAGAGTCATTCAAGTTGCAGCGGAAATGATAAGATATAACTTGGTGGTATTCTCTCAAGGTCAAAATAAAACAGGAAGACCAAAGATCAGGTTACACCAAGTAATTACTGAATAGCAACATCAACCAACAATAAATAAATTCATTTATATGTAAATCTTTTAGAGTAGTAGCTGATGAAGTTGGGTGAAGGGGGCTATTTATAATAAGTGAGCAGTCCTATTGTTGTACATAGTATGTGAGATTGGTCTTTAAAATGATTATTGTTGTATATCTCATTTTTTTACTTGAACTCTTGTTATGCTCGTCACCTGATATGCTTGAAACTATTACGAGTTCACCTTAGTCGATAAACGAGAATGAGACAATGAACCAGTGACACGGTAGGCTACTCTAATCCGTTGCCACAACTAACTGAAGAGAAAAGTCTTGAAATGGAGTTGAAAGTGTAATTTACAAACACAGAGCAAACAAAATGATCTCAAGCACATAAATCGCGTTTATTTATACATCATATAAACGTCCTTGGGAGAATCACAAAAATAGCACACTAAAATAACACATCAACCAATCACAGCCAAGAATCTTCCTGGTGGGAAATGTGATCTTAAGGTCAACCGATCATCCCATGAATAAAATCTAATAAAATCTAATTTATCAAGCGGTTTCTGGGGATCTAACGTCCCTAACAACTCTTCAATGTCAACTTTCTAATTCACTAACTAAACCTTAACTTTAGAAATCACTTATGCATAAAACCTTTCGAAACAGAAAACAAACAGATGCAAGTACAATAATATATGCTCTATTTTGAAGGTTAGTTCACATGCATAGAAATTCTTAGAAGAAAAGTTTTTAAACATAGTGAAGTAAGTCGATAACAAATTTTTTTTTTGAATTTTCTAATCAGTGTTTTTTTTCCAAAAAGAACTTTTTTAAAAGTTTTTAAACATACATTGATTGGTTAAAGCACTTATAGTCATACTTTTATCGAGCTTCTGCAAATGTTTTCTTTTTTTCTTCATTTTTACGAAAATAACCGAAGTGAGTAAAAAGAAAAGCTCAGTTCACTAATAAATAGTGAATATTATGAATCAATTATTGTTAGGCCACCATCACATTAGAAACCTAGAAGCACAGAATGGCCGTTTCATCCTAATAGGAGACTCTTCAACAGTGCCATCCAGTGTTTTCAGGTTTCTAATGGTGGGTATAACAATGATCGATTCATGATTACAATGAAAAACAACAATCTTCACAACTCGATAATGAAATGTTGAACAATTAAATTATGAAATAGAAAAATGTTATTCATTAGTCAGTCAGTCAGTCAGATGCAACGTAGAACTTTGTACATAAGTACATCAGTTCATGTTGCCATACCACATCAGCACAGAGAAGTAATCGTCAATTCAAATCCAATAGTAGTAAAGGTAGTAAGGGAATTAGAAGTAATCGGAGAGGTTAGGATTAGAAGATATTATTCAAGAAGTATGATTCAGTGAGAAAAGTTTAGAGAGTCGAAACTAGAGGGGTTGAAGAATCCAGAAGATTAGGATTTGAGAGAACACAAAGAATGAATGCACCGGCACCACTGCGAACGATTTTGAGACAAATCATTCAGGGTATCTAACCATCGATTACTATCATCTCGTGGACCCCAACCAGGTAGTCGACAATTACCGACATGGCTCAGTCCACTTGTCAATGACTTCATGGATTTCTGCCATGTTGTTAGATTATTATAGCTTTTTCTTTGGATACAAGTGTCATTCGAAGCCATTTTACAGGTAATTTTTAATGATTTAAAAAACTAACACTACATAGAAGATTTAAGAAATCAATTAATAAAATCCAGATGAAAATGTATCAAACACCTTTGAAGTTCCTTGAAAAAGTATTCAAAATCCGAAGAAAAAATAATTAGAAAATAATAATTTGATGAACCAAAGTTCTTGAGAAATTTTCAACAGAATTCCAAAATATAATATCATACGGAATTATTATGACAGAATATATTAAAAATTCGTGTGTGGAGGACAGCACATAGATTCGCTTGAAGTGAAAGCCGATTTCAGACAAGGTTGCTTGCTCTGACATTCTTTCTTTCTTCTAGTGGTCAACTGAATTATGAAGACGTGAACATCTCAGGGAAAGCACAGAATACAATGGACCGCTTGGATGCAGCTGGGGCATCTGGACTTTACAGATGATCTAGACCTCCTACCGACAAACAGCAACAAATGCAAGAGAAGATGGCCACTTTAGACGCAGTAGATCTCAACATATACAGGAAAGAAAGCAAGATCCATAATTACAACAAAACATGCATCAACCAAATCACACTTCACAGAAAAGTTTTGCAAAGTTGTGGAAACGTTTACATTTCCCGACAGCATCATCGGCAAACAAGGTGGATCTAATGCAGATGTGAAGACATAGATTGGCAAAGGAAGGACAGCATTCCAACAATTGAAGGACATCTGGAATTCAAAGTTACTGTCTGTCATCCAATATCAAAGTCGAACTTCTCAATATACAACAAAACAGATCGACTGTATGGAGCGCAAACTTCGAGAACTACTACCTGGACTATTATCAAAAAGATACACCTACCTATAAACACTTGTCTACGCAAGATACTGTGGTAGAGAACAAACCAGATTCCGTTTGAGGAAGAAATTAGGGAAAGACAGTAAAGATAAATAGGACACACGTTGAGGAAATTACCCAACCGCATTGGAAGGCAAGCTCTAACTTAGAATCCTTCATGGAAAAAGAAAAGAGGCAGACTAGAAAACAAATTGTTCCGTGAATTGGAGACAGACGTCAAAAGAATGAATAGAAGTTGGGGACAACCGGAAAGGACAGCCCAGTAGACTGCTGATCGGCGACCTATGCTCCACTAGGGATAACAGGCGTAACCAAATAAAATAAGAAATACTTCACACTTCACATTATTTATTTTTCTGCTTTAAATTCAAAGATGTAATAAACTTTTGACAATTAAAAAGTTGTTCCATGTTGAAGAGTTTAAATAACAAGGTAACCAGCTAAATAAAATAAAAGAATTGTACACCATTTAAAATGAATTGCCAACAACAAAAACATTTTGAAATCGTCAATCAGTCATTGTTAGACCACCTTTAGAAACCTGCAGGCACTGCACGACGGACGTCTCGTCCTGGTATGGGACTCATCAGCAGTGCGCATCCACGACTCCTGCACCTCACAGGATTCAAACCCGGGACCTTCGGTATTGTGCGCGAACGCTTAACCATCGGACCACTCGGCCAGCACCCGACGGTGTTCATGTCTAACTCTGATTGATCTAGGGATTTCGCGCGACCTCACACATTTGTCTTTGGTAGTTACTGCCTATACAACACCGAAGGTCCCGGGTTTGAATCCTGCAAGCTGCATGAGTCGTGGATGCGCGCTGCCACTGATGAGTTGTCCCATACCAGGACGAAACGGCCGTCCAGTGCTTCTTCCAGGTTTCTAATATGGTGGTCTAACAATGGTTGATTGATGATTTTAAATGTGTAAAAAAACACAAATCTCCAAAGCTCTAAACTGAAAAATCACCAACAACATTAACAAACCTCGTTCAAATACGGATAACATTAAAATGGTTTGTTTCATATCAATATGATGTAAATAACCATGACTCCAAATAGGTTGATTTTGTGCTATTTTATGTTGTTGCTGTTGATCACGTTTCAATGTATTCTGTGTATCAAATAGTGGTGTAGTTGAATTTGAATTATTCAATTCAGTGAATTGATGATGATTCATTGTTATCATATAAATATTACACATTGCAACTGTTTTTGTAGTTTGTAATGATTGTAATAGTAAATAGAGAAGATCAGGATCAGATGAATCTGAAAATAAGTTTTTTTTTAAAAAAAAAAGAAGGAACATCGTTAGGATAAGGGAGAAGACGTGACCAGTGAAGGTCAACCTTGTCAGGTGAGGTTACGCGAAACTTTACAATGATCATAGTTAGACTTAAACATTGATGGATTCCGGCTCAGTAGTTCAGAGGTTAAGCGTTTGCATGCGAGACCGAAGAACCTGGGTTCGATCCCTGAAAGTAGCAGTGTGGTGTGAGCTACTTATAAGTAGTATATGATGTGAGTGTCAACGTAATGTCTGGCAGCAAAAGATGGGGGAAGATCAAGAAACGAAGAGTTAGAAAACAATTGAATTTGTATGAAATGCATGAATAGTGACAATGGATTGATGTTTGGCAACAGGAACAGTCCAGTTCGATATGATGGACTGATATTTTGCAAATTAACGATTTACGATATGGTTTTCCGATTTTACTGAGTAACTCTGTAATTTTTGTTAAATACAATTCGGTTGCCCCACCTGTGTTCTCGTTCACTACACTAGGAATAGACGGCTGTCCAGTGCTTCCAGGTTTCTAATGTTGATCTAACAATGATTGATTCATGATCTCAATGCTAAACAACAATCTCCATAACTCTATAATGAAAAATGATAATTTCATTGGAAACATTTTTAGTTTTTTTGAACCGGATTGGTGGGTATGGAGTATTCGTCTAGCGGAGTGGAGTAACAACCCTGATTCCAAACCAATAATGCACATTGGCTCAATGATTTTACAAATTTAATGATTTGTATGCGTGTCGTATAAAATATTTTGACATGCTAATTCCACAAATATTTCTGTGTAGAAATAAAGCATGAGATTTTCACATTTTAACTAGACTTCTTATGAATCACAAACATTTATTGATATTATTTTTGTGATTTAATAATGATATTATATATTAATTACTTCGAACGTGTAGAAACACCAGTTCAAGTTGTCATACTACAACTAGTACAAAGAGATATAATTGTCAATTCAAATCCTATAGTGATACAGGGAGTAGAAGTATTAGCAGTAATGGGGAAGATCAGGGTTCAAAGATATGATTCGAGAAGTATAATTCAGTAAAATGATTTTTAAAAAAAAGAAAAAAAGTCATAAGGAATTCAGAAGATTAGGATTTTAGAGAAGACAAAGAGTGGATACACCTGCGCCATTGCAAGCGATTTTGAGCCACGTCATTCAAAGTTTCTAACCACCGGTTACGATTGTCTCGCGTGATCCGCAGCCAAGTAGTCTACACCTATTTAGATAGCTTAGTCCAATAGTCAGTGACCTTATGAATTCGTGTCATGTTTTGGTTGAGCCACTGCCAGCTTTCTTCCAACCTATTCCTACACCATAAAACATAGCTCGTCGAGGCAGTCGGCGGTTGGGCATACGTAACACATGTCCTAACCACCTCAACTTCATCTATTGGTTTGCCATCGCTACCTAGTACTCGTTTCTTAACAACTGCCCTGCTTTCTTGATAGTCCCATAATATACGAGCAATGCTTCGAACACACATGCGGTCGAATACCAGTAACCTACGAATATCCTCAAGATAAGTGAGACAATAAACAACAAAACAATTAGTTGGATTCATTGTAATTATTCTAAGACTAATGCTTTAAATTAACTGTTGTAACGAAGAGAAAGAGAGTATTGAAAAAGTTGAAATTATATGTAACTAATTTATGGATTATTATTTATATTTTTATAATTATTTCTTATGTTGTAAGATTTTATTGCATTCTTTAACTGAGGCTAAAAGTTTTACTATTTCTTAAACCTTTAATCTTATTTTATTTAAACACATAAACATCAATACAAAGGGGCATCAAAATATATATGCACCAGACAAATTAGTGAATTTGTGAGTAGGCTAGGATGTTTCCCAGCTGCCCAAACTGAGTTAGATAGTTTATCTTAGAGGAACAGTCCTTGAGCCTTTGACTCAAAAGTCTAATCCATAAGGCAATAGAGCAACGTTAAGAGATGCAGTTTCATGATAGCCGGCTACAATCAATAGGTTCATAAGCTATATTTTATTTCAGGATCATGCAGCCAATGTGCACCATATGTTTGGAAGGAGTGTATCCAACTGCCTAAGATGAACTTTCCATACCAACCAACCTGGTTATAGTGACCGATACCCACTTTCATCCTCTCAATTTCTTGAACAACAACACTTTCGCCATGAAATGACAGTAAGTAGGACTTCCCTGGCAGTGTGTGTATATCTATAGACATATGTAAGAGCAGTTGAAGATCAAGAGGAGACTCTTTAGGTTATTTGGAGCTTTTATTTCATTTTCTTCCACCTGAACATCTATAAACTATAATATCTTATTTGTAGTATGTTTTGGTCTGACAAGTGCAGCATATAAACTTAGGAGTGCATTTGAGTTATAATGAATAACTAATTACTAGCTTCGTTTTCTGATTGGTTATTGAGTCGAGAGTAGCCTACGGACCAACAGGAGTCAAGGTTTTACTTGTTGTTCATTGGTAAAATAGACGATCACTGGTCCTACAGGTATTAATTATCGGACAGGACAACATACAACTTCCTTCAAAAATAACACCCTGATCACATAAACCTTAAAACCATTAAACTATCTGTTTGTTTTTGTTGAAAATATGAAAATACTACTACAATAATAATAATAATAATAATAATAGTTTACCTGTTCGACTGACCACTGTAAAACGTCCATTTACAGGCGGATTATTTAAATCACTAAGATTAAGGAAACCGAAAATCTCCACATAAAATGAATTTACTGCCAAGTCATTCATTCTATTCATGATAGAAAAGTATGTAAAAACAACAATCGATTGGATTACAATTCGAATCTTTGAATAAACACATCTTACTAGTTTAAGTGATTTAATGACTTTCAACACGAACATCTCTAACATTTGTTTGACTCGGTGGTTCCGGGTCATTTTGTTTATATATAACGGCTAGCGATACTATTGAATCCATCAATAAGAATTAGGCGTCAGAGAGGTTCGAATATGTGACGTACTACTGATTGGAAACTGAACGGTTCAAAAATCACTACTCATTCCACAACAAACTTAGTTTTAAATCATGAAGTAGCTGAGTCAGTGCAACTATATTTCTATATATGGTACTCAAATAAAGTAAATATTAATGATTCATCTATGAATACCTAGATAACCACGCTGTCAAACAATGTATTATGCATACAATTACATCATAGACATCTTTTGTACAAGTACTGCTGTAAAAGTGTTACAATGTTTCCGATTTAGCAAGTAATATATTAACCTTATATAAAAATCTAGTAATCAGTTCAAAATCATAGGCATCATTTGAATTTTATCAAGATCGCGATAGTAGCTGCTATCTTGACTCTGTGGTCGGGCTTGACTATCGCGATGACCCGAATGGGGAGTTCACCTGGACTTTCAGCCACACTTCGGTTACCCACCATCTCTAGTCAACCAGGATGGCAAGCTGATTTAAGTCCACTGAATCTTAATAAGGCTAGAAAAGCTATAAAAAATCTAAAGAGAGAGAGCAGTATGCCCGGACACATAAATCGCTGAGATTTTAAGGATGGTGGTACAGCTTTAGAAGTCAGATTAACTGGGATCTTAGCTAAAATCATGGAACTATACGTACGGCTGGAAGAAAGGTAGGGGTGTTCAAACCCAAACACCGAGGAAATCCTTGAAGCTACTGACAACTAGATTGATCAATGTTAGTAGGTGTAGACTACCTGGTTGGGGTCACTGGTTGGTTGGGTCACTATCTTCTCTCAAATCCTAATCTTCTGAATCACTAAAAACATTTTTTTCCATTCTTTTAAAGTATATTTCACTGGATTATACTTCTCGAATCATATCATCAAACTCTGATCTTCTCCATTACTTTTGAAACTTCTACTACATTTAACATTATTGGATTTGAATGGACAATCGCATCTCTGTGCTAATGTGGTATGGCAAATTGAACTGATGTACGTACGTACGTACGAAGTTCTACGTTGTTGCTGATTGGCTGAGATCACGAACTATTGTAAACCTGGTAGCACTGAACAGCTGTTTCATTTCAGTAGGCTACTCCTTAACAGAGAGCATTCATGTCCTTATCACCAAGTAAAGAAATCAAGACCTTCGTTATCGCGCGAAAACACTTAACCTTAGGACTTCCGAACCGCTACTCCAATGTTTAAGTCAATACGTGATTCTGCGAGATTATCCTCCATTGCCTTCGATTAGTACCTTACATTTAATACGATTTTGAATGAGCATTGGCGAGGAATACAATGACAGGAAAAAAACTCCAGTTCAGTGCTTCGAAGTTTTCAATGGTTGCCTAACTTGGATCTATCCGTGACTTCAGTAGTATTCAACCAACTCCACAGCCTCCATGCTAACTAACCATCATTGTAGAAAGAATTACATCAAACTTACTTACCCAGTAAATGAATGAACCCCGGGTGATGGTAATAAAATTGCTTTACTTTGAAGACGTCCACAATTGATAAGTACATTTGGAATTCCTTGATTCAGCTGACAATGTTCAATAATATGTTTAGCTAAACTATCTATATATAATTCAGTAGTATATGCTATTTATATAGAAAAATAAAAAATGAATAATACTGGTTAAAGTTAATTGAATGAAGAACCAACTTTTAGGATTGGAAATGTATTTACTGGCTTCAAAAATGATTGATTTCAAATGGAATTGATTATATAACTCCATTAAATCGTTAGATAGCTGAAACGAAAAAAAATAAGCAAAGAATTCTGATAAGGCCGATTCATTTGTAAATGAAGTGAAAAAATAAATCTGATGCATGCTTTTGCATTATAGTGTTATGGGGACCGTCGTTTTTACGCATTGAGATCATGAATTAATCATTGTTAGACCACCTTTAGAAACCTGGGAACACTGGACGGCCGTTTTGTATTCGTATGGGACTAATCAGAAGTGTGCACCCACGATTCCTGCTAGTTGCAGGATTCGAACCCAGAACCTTCGGTCACGCGCGTGAACACTAAACCTCTGGACCACTGAAGATGCATCTATTCGTGTACAAGTTTAACTTTGATCAATGTAAGATTTCGCACAACCTCGCCCATTGTCTTCGGTAAGTAACTGACAACACCCGATAGGGTTGAACTCGACTGATCACGTCATCTCACTAGAATCCTGAGGATTTCCTCACAAAGCTAGTCACTAATGAGCACATTCCTTGATTTTGCACTACAGATTGATCAAAGTTAGACATTAACGTTGTTGGATGCTTGCTCAGTGGTACAGAGGTTTGGCGTTCACGCGCGTGACCGAAGGTCCTAGGTTCGAATCCTGCGAAACGGCAGTCCAGTGACTTCAGGTTTCTGATGATGGTCTAACAATGATTCATCCATGATTTCAATCTTATATATATAACTGATAAAACCGACTAAAAATGTTCGACATTGAGGGGCTTACGTAAATCGATGGTGTATGCAAAAAAACATACAAGCCAAACAAAAGTGAAATAATCAGACAGACCATTTTTAATGATTATATAGGTCGTTTAAAAATTGAACTTCCTAAGTAGGTTTCCCAATATAATATAACTCAAAGAAAACGAAATTCAAGAAGCATGGGAGAAGTTTTATTTTCAAGGTTAGTCCATTTGCAAAAAATAAATATGACTGGAAATTTAGATGCTTTTTTAACAAATGATTATCATAGAAAAATAATCCAACTATCTTGCAGAAGTCTCTTAGAAGTTTTTCTGACGATATTGGTTAGTGTTTAGTGAAATGGTTCTTTACAGGATGGGGTCGCTAACCCCAAGCTCAATCCTCCTCATTCATCCGGGTTCGGGACAGGCAGTAACCTTAGAAGGGTTACAGACGGTCAAACTATTTCCAGCATTTTCTTGGTTTCTAAAGACGTTTACGGGGAATTATCGAGGGTTTACAACATATATATATTTATATAATTGTTTCAGTACCAATAAAGATCCCTGTGGAAAATATATCAGATGATTAATACTAGGCTTATGCTAAAATACGAAACCTAATGATGTTGTACAGTTAAATCACTGGACTATAAAAAGTGCTAGAGAAAAAGATTGATTAACTCAATGTTCAATATTAGTTTTACACCTTTATCGCCAAACAAGATTGAGACAGATCCATGTAAGGATTTAACTCACCCTCCAGGGCAAAATATAAACTGAAATATCTTTAATGGCCTTAGGGTTATTTTTTTAGAATTTTGGATGAATGATTAAATGCGCCATGAAAAAATCAATCTTTGGTTTACTGCACCAAGACTAATACTGTTCGAGCAACAGCAGCAATGAGAAGCTAGATACAGATTAATTTGGATGAATTTATTTAATGTGATCGTGTATACCGACAAAAAATCAAGATAAAGAAACAGGAGACAAATTTTGGGTAACCGAAGTGTGGCTGAAGGTCAGTTGGACTGCTCCCTAAAGTGTTCTACCCATCGATCCAATCTCTTGCATTGAAAATGAATAACATGCCCATTTTTTCGGAGATAGTCTCGTTAATAGTAAGATTCCTTATACCGTCTCCTTGTTTAGTCTGAATAGTTATCTACTGTTACCCAATGCCATTGACTTTTCCATCTCTTTTGTTTTCGCTTCCCACTACTGTTCGCAATCATTGCGTAGGCTTCTTATCAGCCTATGCTTAAGCTTACTATGCTCCTCATTATGTTTGGAGACAGATTGGATGAGTTTCCGAGCATCTATCTACTGAAATCCACTATTTCTCCCTAACTTTTTGGTTTAACTTACTAGCAGATATCATTGCGGTTCCCACAGCTTTTTTGATATAATTCCAATTTGCCTCAGGATGGGCATTACTTACTACATGGCTGCCTAACTGTTTTTCTAGTTGCTCCCGAAATATACTGCTGGCTTTACTATCGCTCAGTAGAACTCTAAGGAGTTTACTTGCTGTGTCTTTCCTACGTCCAGTAACACGCAGACAAATACGCGCTCGTACTAGAGTAACATGTACTCCGGAATGGGTGGCAGTCTTCTATTGAGCCTCTCCATCGGTGGCTGATAGCGGTGTGGTCTAGTTGGGACAGGCGATAAGTGAATCGGAGAATGTAAGTGCGCCGATTCCATTTGATATAAAGCCGGACAAAAATAAGCTATATATATATATATAAACAGTCAAGATTATAAGTGAATAACTAACAAGGTCAAAATATGTATGGATAATAACTAGTTAGTCTGTCTAAAAGCTAGAATAACCCCTGGAGGCTAAGGATGTGTAGTACACACTACATATTCATCAACATGAATTAGGTTTGGTTAGAATCATGCATTCCAGTTTAGATATCTAACAAATTACAAAAACTTTTCTAGTACAATTTTATCTGATTTACAATAATTTCACTGTCAAAGTTGTTTTCATGAAGTAACCAGTAGAATAGTGGTAACATTTCAGAATAGTTAATATGAACTGCATGGTCACAGTTTAAATTCTACGAAGAGAATATCAGTAGCTTTAAGACAACAGACAAATCCTCGCTGATAAGTGCCAAATACCAGGAAACTCAAGTCGAGCATTTCAACATCATACACAAGCTAATTGCCACATGATAATTTGTTCGATTTGTACCAAGAACTAGATAAATATGATATTTAAGTGGTAACTTTACAATCAATGTATGCATCCAATTGGAAACATATCGCTTACTTGTTTATCATTTAAACTAATAAATAAAATTGATACATCATTAAATAGAGTTTTAGGAAAATCTGTTGGACAAATGAAAGAGGAATTAGTAAAATGAGACGATCCTCCATCTGTAAATAATAAAACCTTGAAGGATGGAGAAAGGAAGAAAAAAAGAGAAGAAAAATTTAGATTCACTAGATAAAAATTCATTCAAATAATTTACAAATGATCTATACAGTACGGGATGGGGTCGTTAATCCCATGCTCAACAATCTTTTTTTAATCTGACCTTTGAATCGGCAGTAACCGCAGAAGGGTGCACTCCGGAGGAGTGAGAACAGTCACACTTAACTTGAATTTAAGTTTATTCTATGAATTTTAACATTCGATCTAGAGCTAGTCGTAAATCTATCAAAAATATCGTATCTGAGTAATTCAAGAGACAGTCATATCCATTTATGAGCGACATAAAGGTTGAAATATCTGTGCATTGTTCCAAGTTGTCGTATTACAACATTAGCACAATGAGCTGAACTTATTAATGCAAGTGTAACAACAATAGAAATAGTAAAAGTATCAAAATAATGCCGGAAGAATGAATTCATACAACTCCAGTTTAACAGTAAATTAATTTATAGGCTGATATTTGGACATCTCGTTTAGATTTATTTTAACCTAGCTATCTTTATCCCGAATGTAGCTGCTACCCTGATGTGATGGTCAGGCGTGCATACCGAGATGACCCAACCAAGCTATATTGGCTGGAAAATATGTTTCTCTAGGTCCTAAAATGCCAGGTAGGTCGATTGGAGAACGGTAAGACAAAAAGCAGCTACTCAAGGTCTGACGGCGAAGTCGTACTGCTGACTGTAACGGGGTATGACAGCAGTAAGGTGTTCCCCTCGGACAGCCAGCCTGTGCAGCGATGCTGCCTTCTCATAAGGAAGGAAGGGGTTAGGAAATGTTAGCCCTAAAAATGTCACACCTCACCTTACCTCACATATATCCATCTCCGGCGGTTAAGCCATTTGAAGAGCGGAGCTAACACTTCTAAAGTATACAATAAAAAGGCCGTGCGTGGCCGGCCTCAAGCAGTTGTCCCTTGGGCTTTAGTGGTCATGCGCCTAGGTCGCTAAGACCAACATCAATCTATCTTTCTTTTCAGGTTCCTCAAGAAACAACTTTCCACGGTGTGAGCAGCCGGGAAGTGACATCCGCCCTTATACCCGTAAAAGCACATGCGACTAAATTGGTCACAATCAAATTGATGGACCTATCCTTATACCGGATAATATTGTGCACACCGAGGGGGGGAATGATTAGATAACCTACTAATGATAATTAACCATAAAACCAATGAACAAACTGAAATTATTCAAAAAACATGTATTCCATATTAGAAATCAATGGAGTTCAAATATGGAAGCATAAAATTTAACAGATTCATAGGTGTGAATTATACCTTATATCTAAAGAAAATGTTCTTAAATCAGATGGCAAATCAATTGATGAAGTAGTGAATATTTATCAGTTGAGATGGTCGGAACATGTGTTACATACGCCCAAACACTGACAACATCGACGAGCGATGTTCTCTAATGTAGGCATAGACTGGAAGTAAGCTAAGGACGGTCAGACCAAAACATGGCACAAATCCATGAATTTATTGACAGCTAAACTGAGCTATATTAATTGGTGTACATTACCTGGTTCGGGTCTGAAAGACAACGGTAATTGACGGTTAGAGACTTTAAATGACATGGCTCAAAATCGTTTGCAACAACACAGGTGCATCCATTCTTTGTGTTCTCTCAAACTCTAATCTCATGAATTCCCCATGACTTTCATTTTTCTGTTCTTAAATTTAATTTATTGGATCAGTCTTCCTGAACAATATCTTCGAACCCTAATCTTTGCAATTACTGCTCATACTTCTACTACCTCTACCACTATGGGATTTGAATGGACAATTGCATCTCTGTGATAACGTGGTATGGTGACTTGCATTGATGTACGTACGTTCGAAGTTCTACGTTTTAGCTGACTAACTGATTTACTAAATCAAAAAATGTTCATGATATTGATTGAATTAAAAGTCATACATCTGTTGCATAAAAACCACTTAGTATGAGCTTGCTACACATATACCGATGAAAACTTTTTAAGTCCTTAATCGTCAACTGACTCTATCAACAAAAATAATTTTCTACCCACTTGAATATTTGACCATGGTCCACAGTACCGATATGCTTCTTTCAGGATTTTAAGAATTGATGTAGCGGTCAATTCACTAGGGAAAATTGTTTTAGCTGTTTGTTCAATATGATCAATTGCATTATGCAAGCTGGATATATCAGATGAAAATGTACCAAGTGATTCTTTGGGAGACGAACTTGTTGTATCACACTGTTAAAAGTAGAAAAAGTAATTGAGTAAAGTTAGAAAAAAAAACATGTCAAATTCCTATCTATAACTTATATTAAGAATTGAATATATACTTATAAAATGGAAGAAAGGCAGCCAAGAATAAAAAAAAACCGATTAAAATTAGTACTGAACTTTAGTAATCAGTTTCATAATCCTTAATAAGAACAGAAATTTTTGCGTTAAAATTGTTCTTTCAACAAATTTTATTACCAAAATTTCTACCGTTGTATTTATACACTCATTATCTAATGTCGTAGGACAATCGAATAAGCAGGCCCTGACAGATTATTTGCTGAGAATTTTAAGGATGGTGGTAAAATTTTAGCAGTTAGATTGACTGAGATCTTAGCTAAAATTATGGAACTATACGTACAGTGGGAAGAAACCTATGGGTTGAAAAACCAAAACATGGCACAAATTCATAAAGTCACTAAAAACTAGACTAGGCCATATTCGTAGATGTGGACTACTTGGTTGGAGTTCGAGAGACAGTAGTAACCGATGATTAAAGACTTTGAATGATATGGCTCAAAATCGTTTGCAGTGGTGCAGATCCATCCATTCTTTGTCATCGCTCAAACTCTAATCTTCTGAATCACTAATGACCTGTTTTGCATTCTTTAAGTTTATTTCACTGTATTATACTTCTTGAATATTATCTTCGATTTCTGACCTCCATTACCGCTAATACTTTTACTATCTCTACTACTATGGAATTTGAACTGATAGTTCCATCTGTGATATGGCAACTTGAGCTGATGTACGTACGTACCAAGTTCTACGTTGTAGCTGACTGACTGAATCATTACCTAAGTAATAATTTATTTTAATTATTAGTATAAACAGTATTTCATGATTTATTATCTTAATTAAAATAAGACTGAAGTTTTTAAAAGTTAAATCATCAAAGAGAAAATTTTTTCAGTCAAATGTACTATCCAAAAAATACCATGTTATAGAAGCTAATAATATCAATAACAAGTTTGGTTCATTTAATGTGACAGGTTTATGCACTCGGTTATGTGGAAACTTCCCAAATTCAAAAAAGTCTAGAGTAGTTAGAACATGTAAACCGCTAAGCGGTACTGGATAAAGGCAAGTCCTACAATTCACCGGACCAGTGGATCCGATTCCGTAAAAGACCCTTATTTAAGAGAATTATCTAGTTCGTCCAGGTAGTCTCTTACCCATAAAACTGCAACACTACTAGTGTAGTGATGCCTCATAATGTAAACAATACTTACATATATGACCGAGTAGAAATCAGAATTGAATAGCTTACTCTCCCTTTTAAAATCCTCTCACATCGCCACATATGTATAGCCAATGACAGGACATCCGAACCGCAGCCTTCTCGTGAAAGTCTTGTCTATGGAACTGACAGGATGAAAAGAGAATATTTGGCCAAAGCTTAAACCGAGTTAGAGGCATACAGGATCCACTTAGGGAAGTTGGAAAACCCTCATTTCAAACAAATGGTGCATATGGACTCCAAAGTCCTGAAATAACAGATGGCGCATAAACCTGATATCGATCACTAGCTATCACGGAACTGCATGTCCTAACGTTGCTCCATTGCCTTTTGGATTAGGCCTCTGAGTGGCTCCCTAAGGAAACTACCTGATTCAATTTGGGAATTTGGTAAGTATGCTAGTCCACTAACAAATTCAGTTATTTGTGTAGTGTATGAATATCTAAGTGCCCTTTCTTACTAATAATCAAGCCTAAATAAAATAATAAAAGGTATTATATATATGACCTGTGAAAAATAAATAGGTTACTCTTCTAACTAAGATAAGATATATTTCATAAAAGCTATGATTGAGACTAATACTTAAATCTTTGGGTATTATTTACACACCAATTTATTCACATCGATGTTGTAGAAAGTATACTGTAGAATTAAAAATAAATAAGAACTTACCACAGATATAAAACCAGCGTTTTCTAGATTACAAAGTTTAACTATAACAGATTTAGCCAACATGCACAGTAATTGACTGTATGAAAATGATGTGAAATTCTCATTTGGACGCAGTATACGTAGTTGTCTATCAATGACAACTAAACGAATCATTGTTACTTAAATGTGTCTAAAAAAACATTAAACCAAGGTTACTTTAAAAGCACGTACGTCCAAGTAAGCATTAGAAATGAAAAAAAGCAAATCGTAATCTTTTATAAAGTTGTATGCTAGACGTGAAGACTGTACTACACTACCAAACCGTTAGTGCCGTCGTAGGTGAAACTAAGAAATAAGATACAATGGTAATGCAAACAAGTAATTGGTTATACTCAAATTCACACTTAAAACTATAGTAGGGAATATAAATAACTTAACTAACGGTCACCCGTTGTAATTATGGGGATCTTAACCTTTATCTACTAACATAGATATATCGGGCTTAGCAACCGAGCAATTGGTATTTAAAAGCCAAAATATAAATTAACTTCCAGACTATAGAACATTAACCGACTAAGTTTTCGCACTTCCACCGTGACATTCTATATGGAGAATTCAGCCACTCGCCAAGCCCTAGTAGACCTGAGAGAGGTATCGGTTCATTTATTAGGTACATTACATGACTATTTGAAAACTATGTATTTCGACCTTCATGTTACCATTGACTACATCAGTCAGTGTTTGGTAGCTAAATGTCGATAAACGAGTAAAAAATGGAAAGATTAGTTATATTATCTAGAGAATGGGTTTGTTTATGAGGAGGGAAAAGAGAATTACAAAAGACTGACAATATAACAACAAGGAAAAGATAAAGAACAGTTGAGACATGCTTTGTTTGCTTTCCAGTTAGAAAAATAACAGCCCAATACCTTGGACATTTTTATTGATTTGATCACCAGCTACAAAGTTCTAAGAAGTAAATAAAACTAAAAATAAAAGACGATAATCGCCTTGTAATCAAAATCTATGATTAAGATAAAGAGAAACTGTGTTGTCTAAGAATTCTAGTAAGCCAGTATATAATATTTGATCAGAAATATATGTATGCATCAACCGAAAAATATCATACCATATCAGTACGCTGAATAAAAGTGATAATAGCGTCCGTGATTGTGAATAAGATCAAGTATAGTGAGTACAACTAGACAGTTAGCTTGAAAAAAACAACCATGGGAAATTATTAGACAAGGAATATAAAAGATGAATGTGTTTGCGTCACTAAGACCGATTATGAGATGTCACTCAACATCTGATTATCAGTCAAACTCTAGTAATAACGCCTGTTCTAAGCAGCTAAATTTAGCCCAACAGTTGATAAGTGAACAGTGCTGCAGTTTGGTTTGATCAAATTAAAATTTCCATCCTAGTGAAAAGTAAAACCGAGAGTCTATATGGATGGCAACCGAACTATTTTTCCATATAAGGTGTAGTAAAAGGAACGCAGGAAAATAGGCGACTCAGCTTACACACAGCAAAACATTCCCTGTCCGTTGTTTTAGGATTCTTAGTTCGGTTTCGAGCTGATGTAGGCCGAAATTAAGTTCCAAGATCAGCCAAAACATGAAAGATGAGAATAAAATCGCATTTGGAACAGCGAAAAAAGGCACGTCAATAATTTTTAGAAAATATGTTATCCTGAACGTTTTCGCATTATTCTGTATCGTGCAATAAGCTTTCGAAAAATTCAATCAATCCACACAAAAAATCCTCGAACAAGGAGCTTGTACAGACCTGGTTCAAGTAGAAGCAAATTCATTCAGATTATAGGCATCATATCTCCGTAATTTATATTCCTACTAGTAATCATTTGTGACGTTCAGACGTCTATAAATTTGAGGAGAACTATGATGGAGCAACTGATAAATTAATCCAATACAAACCATCGATTTTCGACAATAATAATACACACAAGAATATGATGCATATAAGGATTACGCTCTAATTACTTAATTATGATCAGATACCATAAAAAAGACTGGTAGCGCAAACTTTCGAACAAGCCTCAGAACTTCAAGGTCCTCTATCAAATACCCAATAGCCATCTCACGAACAAGGATAAACAAATTGGTTTATTTGAGATCGGTCCTTGTTCTTTCACTACGGTTCCAGGTATTCAACAATGGCCAATGGATGGTAGTCTAACCACTCGCCTGCACTATTTTCTGTCACTTATCAGTTGTTTATTAATTCGTACGACCCGTGTTTTGATTGAGTTTGTCCCAATATCCCAAGGCAATAGCGTTTACGGATACCAGTATCTATCACATTACAAGATTAGAGATCTGTTGGTCTTCATGTAGCGGGTAATAAAGATAAAATTCTGCTGCCAATGAGGTGAAGAAAATTTCGGAACTAAGAACACGAATAAATAAGTTGGCGAAATGTTAGTTAAGATAGTGTGCGAAAACGCAGGTTTAAGCACAGTCACGGCTGATTCAAACTGGAGATGATGAGCTGTATGTACACATGTGGTTATCAAGTCTATTTTCGAAGCTATGCGACGAGGAATCTGTGGTCACTTTTGCTTGGAGGGCATTCAAAGTCGCAACACCTCTTAATGAGAAGTGCACTGTGTCGAAAGTTTGTGCGAAGTCAAGGAATGTTATATGAACCGGTTTTTTTATTCCTTCAAGTTTTTCGGCTGCTTAATGCTATGAAAAGATTATATGCACAGGACCTGACGTTTCTAAACCCATGTTAGGCTTTTCGGATGATTCTGATTTTATCCATGTACTCCCTCGTTTGCTGACTCAACAATCTTTCCTCTACCCTCAATATTATCGGTAGAAATGCAGGTGGTCCGTAACAGGCGGGACCCTTCCTACCTCCTCTTAAGAGTGGAGAGAAAGTAGCATGTTTCTATTCAGCTGGGAGTTGGTGTGACTCCAGCGAATGCCTATACCGAGAGCCCATTTTCTTGCTGAACCCAAATTCTTCTATTTCCAGGTATGTGATTTGCCTGAAGTACATCGACTGGGACAGCGTTCTCAATGATGCATCCCGCTGTTCGCCGGCGATCATCTACTTCTGGCTTCCACCATTCTCGTGTCCATGGGATTTGTAGAAGATGCTCTCTCACGGACGTGTGGTTTGCCCTAGTGTATCAAAGGCAAGAATCGTTCTCTACCGACCTGAATATTTCGTTTATGAGTATCTACAACATTACTGCGCCATAGTCACGACTGCATACTGGTGAGTGGACATAGACATCCTCGACCAGAAGCTGACCATTTTTTAATAAATAATCCAAGTTTGAGGATTTTGCTTGACCAAACTCAGTTCTGTTACGTGGCTATAGAGGTACTTTATGGTTTGTCGCATCATCTGGTGCAGCTCTGAAGCATAAGCCGTTCTAGGATCTCGAAAACAAGTTGATTAAACTAGGCCGTTCAGTCCTGTGGAGACTTTTCAGTCTGCGAAAATGTTATTAAAAGTTAAGATCTCTGTTATATTTATGGTTTTATCTGATGTATCATTACTTTTTACTGCAGTGCTATCGATAAAACCACGCAAATTATATGAGAACATAGCAAAAGTCTTCTATGAATTCTTCTTCTTCTTCTTCTTCTTCTTCTTCTACGATTCTTCTTCTCTTGTCCAATATCCAATATCTTTTTCACGAGCTAGTATATTCCAATTGATTTCTTTGCGCTCGATTCTTGTCCTTTCGGTACGATTCCAGGTGTTCGGTAGTGTCCAATGAATGTCGGTCTAGCTACTCGACTGTCTAATTCTAGTCAGTTGACAGTTGGTTTTCAGTTTGTATGTCTCGGCATTTGAATGAAAACGTTTGTTTAAGGGCAGTTGGGTTACTGGATACCATCAGCTATCACGTTATCAGACCGGAGATAAGTAAAGAGAAACGTTTGCACTTCGCTTCAGTATTTACTGTTTAGTGTGCTATCTAATATGGTTGACTAGCAGACTGTCATCAGTATCCTTGTGCAGGACTTAATAATGTGTGTAACAATATGTTGAGCATACATGGCTTGTCCTAGTTCTCTGACAAACTAACTCACTTTCTCACCCCGAGATATTATTTGCACGTGTTTTGAGGTTATCAAATATTCACTTATAACCGTGGTTGTGTGTGTCTACATGCTTAGTTCGCTTATCACTCACGTCTAGCTTGTTTTGTCTGACTATAAACACTTAGCCACGCCTCATCATATCGAGTTAGCTCACTTGTTTTCTCAGCTTCTCTTCATTTTGCTCGCATGTTTTCCTTTCTTGTATGTCTGCTTAAATGAATGCATGAGATCAATTCATCCGTAAAACCGTATTTGTCTTTTTGGTACCACCGTCGCACAAACACGGTTTGTTTAAGCATGATTTGTGGAAATCCAAGGAATGATTTATCTCATAGCATACTTGAACGTTAGTACAAACTGGGGTTCGATCACAGGCCAGTAAAGTGGTGAGCTCTACTTCTAACTCAACGCAGCCACTAAAACCTCTTCAAGAGGTTATCTGGGTGTTTTATTTAAAACGGGTCGGCATCCATAGATTTCTGTGATAATCATACCATATTTTCAGTATATTAAACATGGACACATCGCGTACAAAAACCAATTGTGGATAACACTTAGCATACAAGTTTAAGAAAGCTGTGTTTCTTGTCAGGCTACAGAGTGAATGTATGAGTGAATCAAATTAAACAGTTCAATACCAAAATGAAATCAATGCTTTGCTAATTATCTACATCCTATTTAACCGAACAAGCCTAAAAAGTCAATACTAGTAAATAAATGTTCAGTAATTAGTCCACTTAGACAAAAAATTTTACTATACACTTCTTTCCATGTCATTATGAATACACTTCGTTGTTGATAGCTTGAAAAGTGTTGGTGAATCTCGGAAAGTAGGTCCATTGAATGCTTCATTTTTGGAACCAAAATCCCTTTAAGTAGAGATTTATTTCCATTTAGAGTTCTGTGGCATCGTGAACTATCAGGTGAGGTCGTTTGCAGTAATCTGGATTCCTCGAAATAACTAGGCTTAGGTATCGTAGGTTTTACGAAAATAATAAATCGCCGCATCTTCATTGCTCAAGTTTTCTGAGTGAGCTGTGGTCATATCGTGTGTCCATGTCAAAATATTTAAATCAATATTCATTGTCAAGATCAACTAATAAGTTCATTGAGGTTCCGAAGAATAAATAATAAAACGCCCAGAATAACTCAGTTACTTAGTAAATAATAATAGCATCAACACCAATAACTGTTCCTAAAACAATTATATCATTCAAAACATAGAAGAACAAATGAACAGTGTTTCAAGAAGTTACAAGTATTAGCTATTCATGTATGAGCCATGATACTCGGTGTTACGGGAGAAATGAAGACATTTGTCTGATTAAAACCTTTATATAAATACCATTAATTTCACTGTGTTTTTTTGGGTATATTTGTTTTACTTAACTTATGAACTTATTTGAATTATTATTTTCGGCCATTTTTGGACTCCTGTTTGTCTTGGTTGTTCGTTTGCAGTTTTTTACTCCAGGAATCTATAAAATAGGAGGTAATTGTAATTATTATAATTATTGTTGTTAGAACGACATTGGTCGTCTATTTGTAATAGATGAAAGACGTTTTGGTCGATTATTTGTGAATTGACAATAAACTTTGGTACCTAACTTTGGAATTTGGTTTTATCTTGATTTGGGATCGTGAATTGCAAATAGATCGACACACAGTGCTTCTAAGGATCAAGGAGCAAAAAATTGGACGTAACAAAAGTTCTTCTATTTTAATTTGGTCGTTGGATACTTTGGACAATTCAATTTTGGTTCTTTGGTCATACACTGGATACTTTTGGACATTTGGGTCCAAAGGTTCTTCAATTTTGATTCTTTTGTCGTACATTGGATACCCCGAGACATTTTGGCTCCAAGATAGTTTGCGTGAAATTTTTGTTATTATTGGTCGAATACGTTTTGATTAATTTCACATTTGCTTGGTAATCAATTTCGAACAAAAGCATACAATGGAAACTAGAAGTAAAAAGCTGAAGGAAAATGACGAAATGGATGGTAAAATTTCTAAAGCTGTTTGTGGTATGTCTGATTTTAATGATGATAAACTTGATGATATTAGTATTAATAGTAAGTCTTCATCTCAGTTTAGTACTTCTAGATTGAAGTTAGATAAGGCATTAATAAAGAAGAAGATATAATGGAGAGATTTTGCAAGTCTGACCTGATCCTAAAGTTAAGTACAAGAATTACATCTGATAGCCAACCAAGTTCATTGTTACACATAGCTTTGAAGGAAAACGCACTTTCATTGAATTTATTCATTGCACTTCTATCACAATTTTTGATACAATATAAGTCTAAAAATGATGTATATTAGGTTTTTAGTTAAACTTAAGAATTCTTGCTCTTTTTTAAAATTAATTTTCTCCTTATTCCATGTCTCAAATCTTTTCCCAAGGAAGTTGAGTAATTCTGTGTTGATGATATTAGTTAAACTTTGTACATAATTGGAATAGACATTAATTTTTCCTGTAACTCTATTCTCAAGTCTATTAGTGTTACGAATGCATGCAAACATGTTGTCCATTTGAGATGCTTGAATTATTATTACGAGTTTACCTTAGTCGGTCGGTAAACGAGAGCGAAGATCGAAAATCCAGCGACACGACATGCTACTCTATAATCCGAGTGCCCCAACCCCCCCCCCCCATTGAGTGAAACAAGAAGACTTGGTATGAAGTAGAACCTGTATTCTACAGCAATCTATAAAGTACAAGGTCCAAGTCCAGAAGGAAGACATGGATCCCGGATTAGGGATCCGGGTACAGGTCATAAAACGTT